GGCTTTTTTGGGACGATAACGGAAAAGTGTATGTCGTCGGGACGAATTTCGCAAACGGTTACCAGACGTGGTTGTTCGAGATGACCCCGGATGGCCAGGGCTTGATCAACTACACCCGTGTATTGATCAATAGCGGGTCGGGCAGAGAGGCGAACAAGCTCTATAAAATCAATGGGTGGTTTTACCACATGTACAGCAAGAGTTCTGGAAACGGCCGCTATCTGATGATGTAGAGGGCAAAGAATAGGTCAATGGGCCATTCCTGGAGAAGCACCAACTATCTAATCCCCAATGGCAGTGGAATGCACCAAATCAGGGCGGTTTCGTCCAAACCCCGAACGGCAAGTGGGTGTTTCTCACTCACCACGGCAGCGGGGACTGGTCAGGGCGTGTCGCCACTCTTCGTCCTGTCAACCGAATTGACGGGTGGCCAATCATTGGACAACCTGGATCTGACGGTATTGGGAACATGGTCTTGACAAACACAAAGCCAGACCCAGCAGACGCGGAAAGCTTTAGGCCGTAGGGAGCTAATGATTTCCAAAGTTCTGTGCTCGGGACACAATGGGATGGAATTACCAGCCTCGCGATTCGCATCGGTCACTCTCAAAACGGCCGAATTACCTACGGCTCCTCGCGTTCAAGCCGCTGCAAAGGGATAATCTCTAAATGGTTGGAAATATCCTCATACAGAGAGTTTCCAGAACCCAAAAAAGCACCGTGATCCTCGTTCTGCATCTCGCAGGTCTCGCACACGGCCAGGTCGCTGGCCTGGCTCATTTTACCCAAAGCTACGCCGCGACCAGGGATATGTATACTTGGAGACAAGAAGCTTGGCAAGCATCATCCAAGGACAGGGAGTACAGTCTGACAAAATATGCCTGAGGACGGCCTGGGGCCTTAACGGGATCTCGAAATTCTCTTACAAGGCATCCGACAGCAGCAACTTCATCCAGTTCCCAGTTGACAAAGGCTATCAGATGCAGTGGCGAAATGATCGTGGCAACAGACTTTGCAATGATGCCGAGGCGTTATACATCGACTGCGAGTCGTTCACGTACGACTGGGATCGAGGCATCTAACACTTATCCGCAGAAACGCGACATTGGGCAACTTCCCTAAACTTGCAGTGAATGAGGGTTTAACAGAAATGCTGGGAACCCGAGATATCAGATGAGATGGATAATCAGGGAACGGGTTCTGATGGACAGGCAGGTACAAAATTATGGAACGGCAGGTTGTATTTGATCCTTGCACAGGTCAGGATGTTGACGACCCGGGGTCCGATTAAAGGAGCGAGGGGGTTATGAGCATTGGGCAGTATAAGCACCTCTAGTACAAACTCGGTGGCAGCCAAAGTTGATATGTAGAAACAAGCCCTCATAGCAGCGATTTCTTATCACGAAAACATTCTCCGCATTCTCTCTCATTCATCTCTGTCATGGTATTGTCCGGCGGAACTGTACTGTGTAGCAGCGCTATACCTAGAGTATCCAAGTGTATGCGTTAGGTTGGCTCGCCTGGGGCACTAACTCCATATGAGGTAGGTAGTGAAATATATACCCCGCAGGTTACAACGAATCGGCTTTGGCTTGATCAGGCAGCCGTTTAAACTTGCTGTACCGCCGGAAGCTACTGCTGCCAGCTGGTCTAGGTCAGCAAGATATGAAAAACCTTGCCATGGTCACGGTTCCGTAGTATTTCAACACCGACATCTCCATCCTTGTGTAACAGGTTCCGATCGGTTACGCATCTCCAAGATGCAATAATAACCGTAGTGGTTAATCCGTAACACTCTCCATCCAACCCCTGGCGGGGTAGCAATCACTATTGCTATGCCGAACTCCACAGAACCGTCGCCGGCGAGGGGCTCCCCGGTACCGATCGCCAACCGTCAGCTTCCTACGAGAGTTTCCAGTGCGTGTCGTAGATGCCGTCGGAACAAAAGCAGAGTATGTTTCCTTTTTCATTTTGAAGTGCTAATTAGGTAATAATCGATAGTGTGATTCTTTCCGGCCTTGCTCCCTTTGCATAAGGGCCAACGTAGAATGCGAGCGACCGTCATTGGATGAGGCACCTAAGGGCAGAACCAAATCCAACAGTCGCCGTACTCGAGCGAGGCTTCGACAGTACGTCAATGGCAATCCTCATTCCCCGGGGTAATTCTGACGATATTACATCAAAGACGAAATCAATCTAAAAGCAGCAGCGATACCCTGCCCACTTCAGCGCCGCCCACTCAACGTCCTTCACCGAGCCGTGAAAACACTTCTGTTGAAGGCTTTGGGGATGAAATCATCGCGGAACCAGCAGAGCCGCCCGGACCGTGGGTACCGCAAGATTATGGAGAGTCCGAATCAGCCATGGGCTTTGCTCGAAAGGTAGGGATTTCACCCTCGTCGCTTGCCTAAACTCGATTCACACATCATGCTAGATCTACAGACTAGGAAGTCAGACCATTGATGAACAACAATGTTCTGCTATTCCAGGCGGGGCATGCGGTACCAGGACTCCTCTGATGAGGTCTAGCGAGCAACGCTTACCGATATCCAGCATTCTGGGTGGCCGCTTTCCCAAACAGAATGATATTGATTCCCTACTGGAAGATTATTTCGAATTTGTCCACTGGTTCTCGCTGGTAATATACGAACCTAGATTCCGCATGCGCATAGAGTCTATCAAAGATGGTTATGCGTATCCCACAGAGGCGCCGTTCTTAACATTACTCTCAATCATGCTGTGCATGGCAGCGTGGTACAGGTCAAAAAAGACAGATCAAGAAGGTGCCGAAGAATGGCGCCTCTGGAGCGATGAGCTGCTCAGGATTGTTGAATCTCGTCTTGTTCACATCATGGACCAGCACTCCATTGCCGCTGTTCAGACCCTAATCCTGCTGGGATCACATCATGTCTACCATGGCCGGCCTAACTTGTCGTTCGCCCTATTAGGTGCAACGATCAAGATATCGCACGCTATGGGCTTGCATCGTAACCTGGCCCATGGATCCGTCGATGATGTCGAAGAGCGCAAAAGAGTATGGTGGACCATCTACACCTGGGATAGGTGCGAAATCAAACCCCGCACTCTCTGAGCAACACTGACTATATAGGTTTGCTTCCATATCATACGGCCGACCGTTGAGTATTAATGATGAAGACTGCAACGTAGGGATGCCCGCTGAGTTCATCGAGTCTCCTTTCTTCAAGGCCGAGTCCATCGAACAAGGGTCGCTCGGTGTGCGATATTCACCGTACCAGACCCAGTTGACCACGCTGTACCTCGTGGCTTCCGCTGCCTTGAAGACAATATTCGGCTCTCTGTCAGTACAGTCAGCCGGTCAGCATTTCGGCGGCGAGTATCGGTCGCTGGTTAATGATGTGACGCAAAAGCTGTTGGCTTGGCGACGCGATTTGCCGTCATTCTTGTCTTTGGACCTGAACCGAGACTATCACCCAAGCACTACCGAGTGGGGCACCCGGGCCCATCAGTTGCAGTCTCTCTCGCTACAGTTGACCTTTGACAACGTGATGATTGTTCTACACCGGCCGTTTCTAGCTCGTCAGATTGAGAACCTGTCTACTCAGACTCCCGGCAGCGTCACTGACTCCCCTTTGTCTCAGGCAATGGCGCAGCATTTACCCCTGCACAGTAGCAACTCTCCGTCCCAGAATAGCCAGTCGCCCAGATTCGAAGACAACGCAAGCTCTGAGTATTGGTGGAGCGCAGCAGTTCGGACTGCGCGAATCACCGAACTGCCATACCTGACCGATCTCGCCACTGACAGCCACCTTGTAGCGTTTATGGCCATGAACCTATTTCACGCAGCAATTGTGCTGACTCTGGTGGCCCTCTCTGATCCCCTTTCAGATCCTGCCCAAGCTGTCAAGCGGACCATCACGCGAGTATTTCGACTGCAGGAGCGGCTAGGCCAGCGGTCAGCGTTGGCTAGCCAGAGCAGTGTTGTACTCAAAAATCTCATATTCCTTCTCCTTCGGCGGGAGGGAGAAGCCATGCTCGGTCCGGCGCCACCCAAGCCAGGGCCTATCAACAGCCACATGGAGTATCCGCTTCTACATCGAACGAGTCATGAGCAAACTCTTCGCCTTCCTTTGGAAGCGGCGCTGAACACGGATCAACGGACCGGGATACAAGCCGGATCAAATCTGAGCATTGTGCAACGATTGAACGAAAGTTTGGCGTCGGTGCAACAGAGTGAGCTCACCCTTCTTACCTGGCAGTATTCCTAACTCACTAACATCATTTATTCCAGTTATTCCGCCATTCTTTGACGATTCTATTCAACCCATTTCCATGTCGGTCCCAAGAAATGAAGCTTCGCAGCAAGGACCGGTAACGCAGCCTCAGCAGGAGATATGGCTCCCGCCCGGTGGCTTGCAAGAGCCTACCGAGTCGCTGGAACATCATGGGAATGGGGTAGACTATGGAGCGAATGGACTGTTCTGGCTTTGGGACTCTACATGGACGGGTTGAATAAGAGAAGAAAACACTACTCGGTACATGGTGAACAAATAACATCAAAATTACATTCATATTCTATACCTGGCCTAGTGCCTTCAAAAACCAGAATTTAAGAGTCCGAAGTTGACCACAGAGTGATTTTCCATTACCTACGTTTACGGTTCCGGCGGATGTCATCTCTCTTAGACGGGCCCACTGACTGGCTAGTTTACCGGGTCCGATCCAACTCCGACGGCTCTCTCGAAGTGTCTAGCGGCAAACCCGGGCCTAAATTAGAAATGGCGAGTCGTACTGTGGGTTCCCCACAACGCTCCAACGAAATCCATGCTTCTAGCTCCTGGCAAACCTTGTTTGATCCGGAGTTATGGGGACTGTCATGATTATGATGTGGGAGAGGACTACTACGCTTAAGTATATAACCCGGGGCCCCAGACTTTCCATTTTGCGGAGAACAAATCTGGAGTACACATCTTACTCTTCTCTTTTATCACGATAAGATTCTCGCCTTTGAACTCAGCATCATGGAAAAGCCACCGTCTCCGACTCTAATGGAAAATGCTTCAATTCGCGCCAACCTCGAGGATCTTCCCATCGCCGAGGTCTCGTGGCTTGAGTCCAAGCTGAAGCCAAAGACCGTTCATGCTCGCTATCCTTTCAAAGGCAAGCCTCTTCTCTGGATGACTTGCGCTTTTGGAAGTCTTGGAGATGCTTTGTTTGGCTATGATCAGGGTGAGCTTGAACCTTTTACCCTTGCATGTACTGTATCGTGACATAACAAATAGGTATCGTGGCCGGTCTTCTGGTCAACCCAGTGTTCCTCGCGAGATTCTTCTCCGAATACGGCGGCGCGGACGGAACGAGCGAGAATATCGATCCTTCAATCACAGGCATCCTCGTTGCATGTCTTCAAGTCTCGGCGGCTCTCGGCTCCCTAATTGCTGGCAGTCTCGGCGACGTGATAGGAAGAAAGAGATGTGTGAGATTAGGCGGTTTCATTTACTTTGCCACCGCCTTCATTCAAGCTTTCGCCCCTGGGTTCAAGACATTTGTTGCCGGTCGGACTCTCCAGGGCTTGGGCGTTGGTTTCCTTTCCATGACTGTTCCTGTCATTCAGACTGAGATCGCCGCGCCACATCGCCGTGGTCTCATGGTCGGCGTCGAATACACATTCCTTATTGGTGGCTACGCACTTTCAACCTGGGTCGACTTCGGCTTCTACTATCTCATTCCCAAAAGCGAGTCGTGGCAGGGGCCCTACTTTATCCAAATGGGTCTTGCATTTATTCTCTTCTCCATATCGTTTATTCTTCCCGAAACTCCCCGGTGGCTGGCACGCAATGGTTTTGCGAAAGAATGTCTTCAAACCGTGGCAGATCTGCATACTCCAGATGGAAATACGCAGGCCGAGCATGTTCAACAGGTTATGTTGGAGATCAAAGAGGCTGTGTGCTACGAAGCGAGTTTAAAACAGTCAACTTGGCGGGAGATGTTTACTCGTTACCGGAAACGTACCATTGTTGGCATCACGGCACAGATGTTTGCTCAGCTCAACGGCATCAACGTCATCTCCTTCTATCTACCTACAACCCTCGCTAAGGCTGGTATGAGCCAGGAAAAGTCTTTGCTCTACACAGCTGCCAACTCTATCCCGTATGTTTCTGCTACTATCCTCACTTGGTGGTTGGCTGATAGATGGGGGCGACGCCCGCTCTTGATTCTGGGTGGTCAGTACATATCCTTGACATCTTCTGAACAAAGCTAACGGTATACGGATATAGGTATTCTTATGGCGATAGCCCTCTGCATTGTTTGTGCCTTTACCGAAGCCCATATCCATAACGCCAGTACACGAGCGCACGGCATCTACGCTTTCGTCGTCATTTACAACGCTATCTACGGCTTCACCTGGGGCCCAATTCCTTGGTTGCTACCTGCCGAGGTCTTCCCACTGCGTGCTCGAAGCAAAGGCATGGCCCTTGCTACATGCTCCAACTGGCTCTTCAACTTTGCCATTGGTATGTCGGCCCCGGACGCATTCGACGGCATTGGAGGATACTACTACGTGATCATTGCGGGATTCTGCCTGATATCCGTCGGACTTGCATACTTTTATTATGTTGAGACAGCTGGCCATACGCTTGAAGAGATTGCATTGGCATTTGGTGATAAAGCGTTTGTAGATGATGATGGGGCGGTCGTTGGAGCAGCACATCTAAGAAGAGATGATGCCGTCAAGTCCGTGGCTGCTTGAAGATGGACTTGCAAAAGCCAATTCTTGTGGCATGGTTGGAATTATTAATTTAAGGAAGTGTATGTGATTCCCAGCTTCGACGGCCAGGAGTGGATATTGGTTAACACGAGAATAGCAATTGTAACCACATGTCAGGAAATATCAGTCACTTGAAGCGTCATATTGATGTAGAGTATGAATTCGATGCCGATCTAAAGAAGGTACCTGTAGCCCTTTGTATAAGACGAGTTTACCTAAGGTTGACCCCATCAAGGACTCTTATCGTATACTGCCTACTTTCACTAAGGAACCAAGTGTAGATGGCAGTGACCAAGGAAAATATCGGGGTGTGATGCTTGGTTCACTAGATTGTCCATTCGATCGGCAAGCAACTTGGGGGTTTAGGGCCAGTCCAAGTGAAGAAGATACGGCGACAGGATCTATGTACGATCTTGTAAAAGTTTATTCTGATAGAAACTTAACCTGTAGACTAAGATTATCGCTCCGTTAGATTAACCCGCTTCTAGATAAGATTGTATCTAACACAGACAAAAGTTTGCTTTTGCAGTTGGGAGTTATGCCTGTTGACCTCCACGCCACAAATCGAACGGCTTACGCTCATACACAACCTTCTTCGTCTACACCCCGCTTGATAAGCAATTCTCGATCTACATTAATGCAGTCCAATCGAAGCCAACTCCAAAAATGTAGATGGGGATACCAGTAGCTTGGCGAGGTTCACAGCTGCCTGCCTCTAGGCATCACCGCCGACTCCCAGTAGTAAGCAAAATAACCCTTTCCCAGCGATATCCAGGGTCGATGGCATATGCCCACGGGCGACCGTATAAAGCTACGCATGAAGAAGTCGACTTCATGGGTAGGTACTAAATTGGGGGTTCGGTGTTTGGATTCCCGTCGAGTTTGGGACTGGCACCCTGCTCCTCGTCAAGGCAAACTGCCGTAGAGACATACCACTGATTGTAAGCTGCTCCCAGGCTTTGAAACTCGAGTTAAATATTATTGATGTACTTACTTATTGTTTCCCTGTAAAGTTTGCCCTCAGCTGATGCTTCTGAGAGCTTGGCGAGTTGTCTTGCTCCTTCCTCTCTGGTAGTAGTAAACACGCCCACAGTCTTCCAGATCTTCATATGCGCATACAATCCGGCCGTTGATTCGTGTGCGAGCCTTCAGCCAACAGGTTGGTACTCGCCGCTGTACGATTGCAACAAGCCTGGGTTGAGAACCCATTGATCTACCGACAATCGTTCCTGGTACATCAAATGCCTGATGTCTGTTACATTCGGCGTGCTGTCGAATTTGAAATCCAATAATCGTGCTACGTGGCCAACGTCTGCACCAAAGAGGTAGTCGGCGCATTTGACTGACGATTCTTGAGTGAGACGGTCGTAGATGGTGCAAACAACTACTCGAAGACCTTCTTAATTCATTTCTTGTTTGATACCCGTCAATTAGGTTGAAAAGCGCACCGCGGAGTTTTTCGAGGCATATTTAACAAGGAGGGGATCAAGTCAGGATTGCAGGAGATCGGCATATTTGCATGGCGATATGGCTGAGGTGGCTCCCTGCTGATCAAAATATATGCACTTGATGAACGAGGAAGTATTGATATAAAGGATGAGCAAGAACTTCTTACCATGCTCGACGGGTGTTCTTGCCATGTACAGGATCTCGCACACACTTGTCCAACAATATTGTCACACCAGCGCATTGATTGATCTAGGTTCTGTCTGCCAGAATAAGCTCTCAGCCGCAAGTCTCAACTGCAAATCGTACCGACCACATAGTGATAGTTACAACGCAACCTCTTCCGAATCAATGTCTCTTAAGGATTCTAGTCCAGTCAGTTAAGCTGAACTGCCGATTCTTGGGCGGTTTCATCCCCACCAAATGCAAAGTGATTGAATGAATGTGCACTTGGAGTATCCGCCGTGGCAGAAGCTTTGGAGATGACATTTCCCTCAAGCCATAGGCCTCAGATAGTAAACTGCATGTTGCAAATAATGCCAGTTGAGTGGAATTACCATTATTGCTGCTGAAAGACGCAAGGGACGCTCCGGCCGGCCCTACTCACTACAGGGAATTTCGTTCACACGTCGAGGCTCATGGTGGAGTGGTGTACTGAAAGCAAATGGAAGTTAAGTTTATTATGAAAGGCGCTAGGAGAGCTGGATAAGTCGGAACAGCAGACTTAAATTCCATGCCTATATAAAGGGAAAAGGCAAATGCCCATGCTTTGATTGAATGGTTTGTCAGTATTCGCTACCCGCTACCAACCCGGCTCTTTGCCCACTGGTCTAAAGATTCGTCTGTGTGATCAGTGGGGCGTAGAGTTGGGAACTCTCTGAGGTCCGAAGAGCTTTTAGGGTGAACGGTATGAATTCTTGGCGTCCGAGCGAGGTTGGAAACGCCGTTATGCAGACTATCCAATCGGTAAGAACTGGATCAAATTGGATGATAGAGGATGTATTTGTTTAAATGGAACGGAAGTGTAAATTCAAAATTTATTACGCTTATCATGGTCCCTACTATAGCGCAAGAAGGATAAACTAGCCATATTCTAAGCAAAGACGTGCAGGTTCATCACTCGGACTTTTATTTATGCTGGGATATTGTCAGATGGCGTGATTGCCAATAGAGTAGGATCATTGAAGGATCTGAAGGCTTATACCTGTTCCTAGACTTAAAGACATTGCTTTTAGGCTCTCAGTGCTCTGGCGGCAGGTGCGGTATGACGTAGACTCCACCGAGCTGATGATGGGAAGGTGAACGTATCGAAATGGCCCAACTGACTCATATGAAAGGATCTATAGCTTAATTAAACAAGTATATACGAATAAAGAGGCAATATTTCAATTCGACTAAATACACTCGTGATATACAGGTAACGTGTCTTTGTCCCTTGTTCACACATATTTCCTCCTGATAGGGTCCCATACCAGCTCTTTCTCATCCTCATCTTCGTCCTCGCTCTCCTCGCTTTCCTCGCTCTCTTCATTGTCCTCATTATCGTCATCATCATAGTTCTTCAAGTGTAACTTCTCAAGTTCTTCCGCAATTATTTGGTCTGTGTCTTGAACGAATGTATCACACAGGTCTACTAGCCTCAGCTTGGTAGCTCGACGCAAATCATCGTCAGCATCGAGGTCTGCTTCATCACCCAGAGCAGCCAAGACGAATCGAAGTGTTTTTCTTGATATCTCCTTTCTCTGTTGTTCACGTTCCATTGCTGCAGTCGCAAAGCTACGTCCATCTTCAGAGTAGACAAACTTCCATTGACGAATATAGGTGTCCATCATTGGTTTAAACACCTGGATTGCCCAATCATAAGTATTTTCGAGGATGAGTCGGAATTTCTTAACGTCCTCAAGGTCTGTCATATCTCCAGTTCAAATGCATTGCATCATCTAGGAGGAATAATCAGTAACGATGCGCCGCGTGTCTCCGATTTTATACTAACATAACCTTGATCAATGGGCTTGGAGATACTTGGCGCCGTGCTCTGAGAAAGAGAGAGAGATCATATCTCGGTCAACAGCAGCGATATGATGAGTCGTATTACCGTCAGGGTTGTAAAGGCTCCAGCATCCGTAAGAAGAATAGCGACCTTGCCACGCAGTCCTTTGAGTTGTCGTTTACTACTGCTACTCATGCGTTCGCAAAAGAACTTCATCATAAGCCAGCAGACATCGCGGTGTTGTAGCCCATGTCCTTAACTGCAATTCGTATTCTCTACTTTCTTCTCTGGGCTCAAGCCTCGCTCACACCCGATAACCTTTCACGGTCTATGACTAAGTGCAGCACTCTGGGGCCCTTAACCGGAATTCAAATAGAGTGATCCAATAAACAAAAAGGAAATCATTTATGTCGCACATTCGAAGCTCCAAAATCCTGAAATCCTTGGCAGCCTGGGCTAATGACATGCTTTTCCCTGATCCTTCCTTTCTCTCTTATGTTAATGCTATCCAGAGCCTGCTACAAATTAGATCCTACCCTCCTTGCTTGTATTACCTTTTTTTATGTCGGATTTCCAGTTTGCGCTAATCAGAGACACGCCACTGCTTCTTAGATAGCCTGGTGCGCTTTGGTTGAGGTTGATTCAACTCATCATCGCCGTCGTAGTCGTCATTCATTCGTTTTCTGATGATCTTCCATTTTGTTACTGAATCATGCATTTTATCGATGATGTTGTGAGTCTCAATCTTCTTCTCCACGCCGAGAAAGTCTTCTTCATTTCCGTGGTCGGCTTGAGTCAGCTCGTCGTCGTCGGTATTCCTGCGCTTTTTTCTGGTCTTCAACCTCAGTGGTGGACCATGCAGTTCATCGACGGAATCAAATGCCTCAAGCTTCTTCTGCACACCAGGGAGACCTTCTTCACGGTTGTTACTGGTATCGACGACAAGTATCGGAATCATCAGGTTTCGCTGAGCCCGTCTGTCAAGAAGACTCTGCGCCTCTCCTCGAGGGTTGAATTCCCCAGTACGAAAAGGAAACGGGCGAGGCTCATGGAGAAGATGTTGCCATAGTGAGATCACGTTAGGCTGGTCGAACTTGTTGAAGTGCTGGATTTGAGCGATGGTATTCTTGAGGGATTGGGAGATATTGTGGGCGGGGTTTAGTTGATCAAGAAGCTGTTGCATTTGTCCGGCGCACAACCGGAGCTGCTGGCGGACACGGTCCTTCTTGTCCATGACGGAGAAGGGTGTGAAGGAAGCGAAAAAGCGACCTTCGGGTGTTCTGCCGAGGTTACTCATTTATTGAGTCCGCCTGTGAGGACTTTGACCTGACTGTGACGTGTGGTGAGGTGAGTTACGGTGAATGACAGACGTAAAGCAGAAAGAAGTGCAGTAGGAGTTACGCCCTCTTATTCCGAAATTGAAGATTATCGTCACTAAACACCTCTTTATCTTTAACCCCACTGACCGGGGCGGTGAAGTTGAGAGTTGAATCGATTTATGATATGTGACATGTGTGTTGCACAAAGAATGTTTGCCTGTGAAGAGCCCAGCTGCAGGGTGAGCCTTCGTCACCACGCAGCAAAGCATCTCGTATTTCTGTTCAGAGTCCCCTCGCCGTGTTCTTATTTGTTACCTGTGTTTGCAGCCTAAAGGTTAACCTTATAGGTCGCATGTATCCCCATAGTTCAGAGTCCTCATTCGCCCTTTTGGCACCTGATTCCGCGTGACCTGAAGATTTGAGGTCAGTTCCAATAATGCTGTGTGAGTTATTGATTTCAAGGCAATTGTCGAGCGAATCGCCAGCTTCCGATCTTTCTCAGTAGTAGTATTACTAGAGACACCAACCTTGTCCCGATCGTTTCTTCAGGTAGTCGGTAACTACGTAGACAATGTGAACGGGCCACCAGAGGGCAAGGATTCCAAGATCGCCTCGACGTTGAAGAACCCAGGCTCAGCTCTCGGTGGGGAGTTCGTCTGGCGCGATAGAGTGATCGAGTCTTTTCGTGTTGATATGGTCCGGCCTGTCCGGGGCCTCTGGCTGCTCCTGGTTGTAATGCCTTGAGGCATTGGCGAGACAAAGATCAATTGCCAGATATCCAATTTTGCCAAGGTTTGGGCCTTATATATCACGCATCATCTGTCGCCACCACGGTAAGATCTCGCGACACGTGAAGCCTCTAGGAACAATGTCACATCGGTATTATACATACAACTGACTACGCGTCGCTCAATAGAATGCCGGTTGTGTCTATCTTGTACTTTCGGGTATCTCTCGGGCCAGATTCACTTGTGCAATATTGCTGTAGCCTGGCGGGTTGATTGAATGCATATGCTGTGAAGGAAAAGGCAGCTAGAGACTGAACCGGTGCGCGCCTCCTATTCTGACTCCAACGTCGGGTCACAGTCTCGTCATAGGTGGCAGTTGATCCCATTCGTGGGATTAATCGAACCAAGGTGAGCTCAAGTCGCTACTATTAAGGAATCAGTATAAGTACTGACCCATATGCAATTGACAACTCTACCTCATGAATCATGTCATCCGGAATAAGATGGCGATGGAGGATTATGGCTCAACGTCATATTGTCCCTTCCAGAATGATCACTGACGGTATAACTTCAACCATAACCCTAGGGTAGCCGAGCAGTTGAGCGTGGTGGATATCGGATAGGTGTGAAAGGAGAAAAGGGGGGTCGTGGTGAGAAAGGAATGGTGTCCATATGAGTGACAACTGAACCGTAAGAATGCAATAGAACTTGCTGTCTTCAGGGCTTCAGAAAGGTCGTTCCCTTAACCATTGACATGAGTAGATGTCAGCTGAATACATGGAAGTCCGGCACTCAGACTTCCCATATATGGGCAATTCGTTCATCGAGTTTCAAGATCGAGTAGTGAACAGAAATATGTTTCTCTCGGCTAAACAGAATTGGAGACATCGCAGACTAAATCCGGAGGCCTAGTGGAATCAGCGACGCCACATACCGGGAATGATGAAGTCGTTGTTGGTGTGTTTGATGTAGGCGAAAAAGTGCTCCAAAAGCCTAGGATACGGATATCCAAGGTGAGAGCTCCGTTCGGAACTCAAATACGATGGACTCAACACTGTAATAATGAGTAACATGGCGCGGATTCTAGCCACAATGACATCCAGCCTGGTTGGCTTCAGGTGCCGAGGTCCACAACCTGGAGTTCGGTCAACAGGCATCTCAGTCCCTGCAAATCCATTTATTAGCCCAGTAGAGCGGAGTGGATGTCCGAGAAGCACCAGGCCATGCAGCTCCCAGTCGCGAGTTCCATGGTACGGAGTTTCTGTCTGAGAAGGCATAATTACACAAGCTCCCACTGAAGAGCTCAGTGGTCTGAATTGCACTTTCTATAATCTCCGAACCCAGCAGGCTCCCGCTGGTTGCCCCGTTACACGAAGCTCCCAAGAGCGCAGCTCTTGTTAACTTTATTCCGTGTCAAAGAGCTACCCTTGCGTGGTTCCGTTGTCCAGACTTCATCACACGAATACGCAGCAACAATTCTCAATAGATAGACCAAGTAAACTGTATGTACTAGCGCCCATGCTTGTGGGCACCAATCCTTGATGGACCTTGGGGAACTAAAATAGAAAGAGAGAGAAATTGAATCAAAGATAGGTTGTTCGCGAGCCGGGCGGTTGGTGACGAAGATGAGGGAGAAGAATTTGTCAAGGAACACGTGGATGTACATGGAGAGGCAAGAAACCAAGAGGAAGACAAAAGCGAAGAAGAGGAAGAAAGAGAGGCACAAGATCTTAACTATAAGAACTTACCTCCTGCGCCGGCGTCGAAGCAGGACAGTTTCTAGCTACCCCTGCTAAACTCACCTAATGCGAGCTGAAGCCATAAAGCAGTCCGAATCCAAATGACCATTGCCGACGACAGTGAAGTAACGCTGCCATGGAGCTGGCAGAACATACACCCTAGCCCGAGAGGAATTGGCAGGGAAATTATGGCCGGGACTTGAACAGTGGTGCGGGCTTATTTAAGATTGCTCTCGTTGCTGTGTTTCGTCAAGGCTGAGAATTTGTGTAAGCGAGCCAGCCTCTTCCACTTGTGTAACGTGTCGGTCGCGCCTCACATCCGGCTACGTCAAGCCGATGCCCACGCATGATAATTGAGGTTGTAATAGCTGTGCTTCTCATTTGCGGGATTTCGTCCGTGTTCCCGCGACTCTAGTCAGAGATTTACTTCCCTACTTCCGTGGAGGGGCACACTGTTTGCACCAATTCTAAGAAATCTTATCTCATCTTTTTTCATTTAGCTGGCGCATGGTGTACTCTAGGTAGAGGCGGACGCTAAGTTGGGTTGGTGAAACCATTCTGGTAGCCAGCAACTGCGTAGACGATAGATTTCAGGACAGAGCTGACAAGCCGGGGTGTAAGGGCTTTGAGATCGGTTCGTAATGGAAAGAGGCAGCTTCATCTTTTGGTCCAGGGGAACTTCTGGGGTGTAAGCGTGACTGGAGGCTTTTATGTTGATATGGCCCGGCTGGCCGGGTTCGCTGGTTGTCACTGATTACTATAGTATGGCTGCCGCCTATAAGTTTAAGCTTTTATGATGTGCTTCGAGGCATCTCTGAAACGGAAATCATGCATCAGAGATCTGAAGTTGTGAACACGTCAGAGCTTGAATGGCAAGCGAGAACAGCCTCACAGTGGGACTACTCCTGTAATTGACAACGCGCCTCCGAATTGAATACCGGATGGGTACAACATGTATCTGAGAGCTTCGTTCGTGTCAAGTCTGGTCGTGCTATGATGCTGCACCCTCTCAGTTCCATATAATGAATATTACGCAGAGAAAGAGGCAGTGAGGGAGACCGGTGGGAGCATCCCGTGTTGGATCTGACCTTGGGTCAAAGTCGTATTTGAAGCGGCAGTCGGTTCCGCACGGAATTGATCGGACGAAGTTCGAGTTCTCTTGGGTGCCGCAAGATTGGCGATAGTGCTGTTGTTAGTCATGGAGCGATATGGTGGAATCAACAGGTACACTCGCATCCTCGCCAGCCACTGTAAGTTCAGTGCACTTAGTAGATCGCTATCTAGAACTGTCCAACCCAACTGGTTGGATTGAAGGAATAATAAATACTGACTTTTTCCGCTGGAAATGTGTCAATATCCTGAAGAAGGGAAATGACTTGTTAATAGAACTTAATTTAACTTACAGTCATTCTTTTCCTAAGGTTATCTGTAATTTACACAATTATTTGCCAATATTGTTTGTTCTTGAAAGTACACCAATAATAGGCCTAGCAACCGGCCGGCTGGAACTATGTTGTTTCACCATGTATATATCTTGTGAGTGCAGCAGAGGCACACTTATGATCTAGTATTGGGCGGAAAATCAAGATAAAGAGAAATTCGGCACATGCCGATGAATCACCTCTTTCTGGTCGACCGCTGTAGATGTGAGCAACGAGGTATAGTATACCGAGGACCTATTAGCCTTAGCCTATGTCTTTTAGGAGAGACAAATTGGACTACCAATGCGGCCACCCTAAACCGCTGTAGCTGGAGGGAGAGTATTTGCTGTTCATCTACATGAGAGTTCTTTCTCTGTAGCGCCAAATTAGCTACAGCTGCATTATAGTGCCCTAAGCAAAACTGCGAATTGTTGCGTACCTCGCGCTCGGCCTCGCCGACCAGATAGTCAAGTCTGTGACTAATCTCCCTCAATCTACTGTGAGACGCAATGACCCTCCACAAAGACTTCTTAGCATGGGGCTCCTTCGCCACACTTAGCCACCCTGGGCTACAAGGTAGTCCCTCAGGGCTGATGCAAACATCTTGATCAAGAAACTGGTTGACTTTTCGGAGTATTGGACGGTACTGTAGCTGGCTTGGCCAATATACCTTAGTATTGGAATTTACTCCTCCATTCCTGAAGTTCTTAGCAAGCGAATCTTTTAGGTGTCTCTTGTTGGAGCTCCAGGCTCTGCAATTTCAGCTTGGCCAGATTTCTAACACACTTCTACATCTCTGAGGACTGTTAAAAGCGGATAGGAGCTTATATGCCGAGAGACTAAAACTATAAGAATAACTTATAAGAAATAAATAAGGTCTTTTACTCTATTTATATAGTAGTTTAAATACTTTTGTTTTTTATAATTTTAACTTTATATAAATATTAACTTTAATATTATTATATATACTATTATTAAATAATTATTCTTTTTAATTATAATATTTAGATTATTATAAAATAAATAAAGTATAAAGATAAATATATATTAAGTTTAAATAGTAAATAAAAGAAAAACAAATTCTCCCTAATTAATTAAAGTCTAATATAATCATCCCCTGACATCGCACTTCTATTACAAGAAAATTACTACTATACTCTATACTATAAAGGGGATACTCCTTGGGAATTACCAGTAGCTTCTGTGCATTGCATGAGATCCATGTAGAAGTAACGTCAATCCTCTTGTCACAGGTCAAGCCCGCCCTGCCCATCGATCCCAGTTGGGAAGTCTCCTTTTGGAATTGGTAGGTCTCTGAAGTGCGATGCCCCAATGCATAGAGAATTTGGCCATCCTTTGAGAATGAAATGGCACTAGCGTTGTAGGATACCTCGAAGGTTGGAATCTGAAGGCCGCTCGACATATTCCATAGATAAACTTGTGTTTTAATTTTATCTTCATGTAATAGAGTGACCAACCAAGCAAGAATCTGCCCACTTGACGAAAAGCAAGGTTCCCTGGGAAACGTGAAGTCACTGTTTTGAAGAAGACATCTGGGTTGGTCGCTCATTGTACAACTCCAAATGCTGTTTTTGGTATTGTATACCAACAAAGATTCGTCTGGTGAAAACACTAGCGATTTGACCTCGTCATTAGTTCGAACCTCGCGTCTTGCAGAGGGGTCTGCCAGTGTCCAGATCCTTATAGTAGTACCATAGGATATGGCAAAATATGTCGAGCTTGGCGAGAGAGTAATTGAACTGATTGTTTGGTTTCCGGGCTCCTTGAATTCAAAGCATAACCTGGCGGTCGAACCTAACTTGGAGACCTCGGCTGTATCCTTGAAGCTAACAACAGCCATTCTTCCATCTGTAATCGATACATCGACACCCTGTGTAGGGTAATTTGGATGCCAAGGGCCAAATTTTGATAGTTCATTTCTATACTCGCTTATAGAACTGAGGCAGAGTTCTCCCATTGGTAGCTTGACGACGCTTGAGTGTTCGATGTATGTGTCCTCTGTTCCTTCCAAGAACCAAATATAAGTAAAATCTTCCTCGAGCAGTATGAAAGCTTCCTTGTTTTTGGAAATATCACTCAGTTGAGAGAATGACCACCTGCGATATTCCCCTAAGCGGTCCACTGTCAAGCATCTTTCAAATGTGGCTTCCGGGAGACGCCAAACGTTTAGGCCTTGCTCGTCTTCAATTGAAGTTATCATGAACCGACCACTAGGCGATATGGCAACCCTATTTATGGGGTAACCACCATCTAAACGTCGGTGATCTGGTTGCTTAGGAACTCCAACAACGGAATTAAGAGCTTCAAGGTCCCAGTACACGAATTCGTTGTTATCCTTCGTCAACATAGTCGTGTAATCCGGTAAGATCGCCATGTGGTCAGCCAAAAAGGCCTTAGGAAGCCGGAGATGCTCGCAGGTCCCAGATGGAAATTTGAGAACGGTCAAACTCGAAAGGTTGCGGTTTGATGGGTAAATAAAAAGTTGACATCCATCTAACGAGAAGGCAAGGCTTCTCGCATGGACTGTCAAGTCCTGGATGCAAGCACCAGTGTTTATGTCGACGACTCGAACACTGTGTTGACCTGCAAACCACCCTTCGACAGACATGGCAAGAAGAGAACCATCAGGCGACAAGGCTATTCTAGAGACTGTTGACTTTGGGAATTCCCAAGTTTGAAATGTCTGATCACTTTGAGTGAATTTCCATGCAAAGACCTCGGACTTGATAACATCGTGATTGATATTATGATCGTGACGTACCAGAGAGGCTATTCCAGAAGAACATATCGCAGCATAGTCATACCCTTTAGTTGTCGCGTATGGTGAAAATCCAAACAGATTGTTTGTCTCAATTGCTCGGTCGATTCGTACGACCTGACCGAATTCTGTGACAGCGAGAAGAGAATTCCCATCACAGGACCATGTCAGAGCTAGCAAATGGGTATCTGTGTCGAATCGTGCAAGAAGAGTCCCGGCTCCGGTATTGCGAATCCATATTGAAGGCAGATCCGTGTCCCAAGTGGCGCCAGCCATAGCTAGTTCCTGCCCATCATGTGATAAGGCAATAGAAGAAATTCGTGACATATCTTCGACTTCCTTTAAACAAGGACCCCAGTTATGCTCCAAGTTGTGAATAACTTTAAATCCAGGATGACGGGTCTCCCAGAAGCTACGCCTAATAAGGCTTTCCACCGGACTGAATAGAAGGGCTGCACCATAGATCTGCAGTGGGTTCTCTTGGATGGTATTACCATGTCGGAGGATGAATCGCCTGGCATCTTTCAAGAATGAAACAAGGAGACGTATAGACTCAGATGGATGCCCCTGCACATCTGTCAGTAAGTTGCCCTAATATAATGGCTAATAAGATGATAAATTACCATTGTTATAGAAGCACAAAGCTCTCCAATAGCCCTAAAGGCAAATACGAGCCGATCAAGAATTGACAGACACTCAATCCAATGGAGAAAATGGATTTTCAGGATCGGTATCAGAGGTTCATATGAAGGGTCTCGCTTGTTTCCTCTTTGCAGGTGATGCCACCAATACGAAGATGCGTACTGAAGGCTTTTGGAAATGTGACTCTCAATGACATTGGGATCGATGCTCTCCCTTGATACTCCAGGATCATTGAAGCCGCAAATATCCTTCCTTAGAGTTTGTAGAAGCGAAATACATCCCGCAGCTATATGGTCATGTGATTCCATCTCATCGGCATGGAACCACGATCTTTTCAGTGGGTCTTTCCGCAGTAGAAAATCGCTGAAAGACTTATGTACTGCCTTGACAGGCTGTTGATTGTCGTCTGAGATCTCTAGCACCGCACGACAGCACTTGAGTAGGCCTCGAGTTATACCCAAATCGACCCTTGAGATAGAAGAAATGGCCTCTATCGAAAGTGGTTCAGCAGCAAGAACAACTGTGACCAGAACAGTTCGTAGATCTTTCTTTTCTTCATCTGCCAGCAAGCCGGAGGTTCCATCTCTCTTGTTACGGTCTAGATTTTCAAAAACCGTAGTGTACAGGCCTTCAAGTTGTGACATATTGGCTGTACTGGGGCTCTGGTCGATCCACCATTGCAGACGTTTCTCTGAAGTACGCATTTCTTTTCCTTCATCAAGAAACCTTAGGAAAGTTGCAGCATAGATGAAAAGAGGAGAAGGGTTGATTGAGCGTTGCAATATCACCTCAAATTGCTCATGCGTTGGCCAAGCATGCTTGATTTCTGTCTCCTTTCTGATATCTTCAAAGCCAAGTCTCAGAATCGATCTGATATCTGAGATATTGTCATTGCGAAATGCGGTGGCGAGTTGCAGTGATTCGTGCATTTGATTTTCGATTGCTTTTCGCACCAAATTTTCGTCACGACTAGTAACCAAGAGGCGAAATCGCAAGGTGTCCAAGTCCCCCAGGCTGCAAAGTAGTTTAATAATCTTACTGGCCTCAATCAGGTTGGTGCATTCATCGAGTGCATCGATGATGATGACTTTAGCCGAGGGGATGATGCCTATTTCCGACAGGGGGCCTTTAATAAGCACCTTGAACTGCTCATCCAGGCGCATCGTCCCGATATCCGAATTCTTAGACGCAATGACGGACTTTCTCAAAGTTGGTTCATAACGGGGTATGGTGGACATGAGCTGGCTCGCTATAGTCGGAAACACACGAGACACATCGTTCCTGTTGGCATCTCCGCGCTTGAAGAAGTATCCAGCAGCAATTTGACTAGTTTCTGTCAATTCTCTGGCAACCGTTCGGGCCAAAGTCGATTTCCCGGTCCCAGCATGACTATAGATCCATAGCAATGCTTTCTCGCCTTCATTGACCCAATCGTGTGTGTATTGTATTGCGCGGGTTTGGGTGCCTGCTTGACACACAGGACTTGAATAAACATCCTGGCTATCGAAACGTGCGTTTCCAGAAGTAACCAAATTGATTGGAGGCCGAGCAATGTCTTCAATCTCACGACTGCAATCATGGTCAGCTATCTGCGTTGAAAAAACAGCAAGGTAGAATGGTACCTGAATCTCTCGGCGAGAGCTTGTCCTATGTCGTCCGGCATCTGATCATTGAGCAGACTGTCAAGGGCCAACCTCAATGACTCTCGCGGGATGTCCATGGTCTTACTAGCTGCAACGTCCAGTTTGGGGATTCTCTCGGCTAAACGATTGAGGCTAGACTCGTCCAATTCCCCGGAGGCTGAGGGTATGTTCCTCAAAAGTTCCATGTCCTCTTGCTCGTCTACATCCCCACTCAGCTTCGGCCTCTTGGACCTCGACCTCTCGAATTTTGGCTTCTTCAATTTCGACCTCTTGAAGTGTAAACAAAGCGAGTAGCAATAAGCAAGCCCTTTGGTGATATCAATCACCATTTCGTCTCCCTGTGACAACGCCCCAGCCTCTTCCTTATATAGTAGCGGATGGGCGATCTTATTATACATATGCGCAGGAAGGCTTGTGACTTGGATCTCGAACGTAACACCGTTGTATAGGCTAAGCCTGTTACCATCTTCATATTTGGATGAGATGTGATAGTTCATGCACTCATAGGCTCCAAACCACGGCTGCCAAAGGTGACCGACTTTGCGGTTTGCATCGAACCGGTTTGATTCCTTCTCTTGGTTGAAGCTACCAGTGACAAAGTGAGACACGTCCTCAAGATGATCAAGGTATTCAACAATGATACGAATACCAACGAGATCGTGCAGATCCTCAAGGATGTCGTCGAGACTTTTGTACATCCCTATGTCTTCCTTGGTTCTGTGTATCTCGCGTCGCTGCAATGACTTTGAGATGGATGCGCGCGATTTGACTCGATCTTCGACTGTAACCGGGATTGGGACGATGCGGTCACCCAACTCAGCTTTGCAGGCTTCTGCCAGCTCGGTGGACATCCTTTGGTAATCACTCTCCAATTTGGGCCAAATTTGTTCCAGAAAAATTTCTTTGACGTTTTGACCTGTATTTCCATTCTTACTATTGCTCTCTTCGATAAGATGAAGAATTCGTGCTCGCAAGGGCATGGCCTTGTTTGGATCTCCCGTCGTTGAGGGGTCCCGCTCGCTTGAGGAATCGGTCACGAGTCGGCCGTCCATTCTTGGCACAGAGGTTGTAAGAGACCAGAGAGTGTCCGTAGCAATCGTAACGAAGCCTAGGCTTCGAAAGCTAACGACGATACGTAAATGAGGTCAGGACTGAGAAAGAACTTGAGGCGATTAAGGGACTGAGCATGTATTCGGGAAAGTTGGACAAAGGCTCGGTTCAATTTTTCCAGCTGCAGTAATGAACACTCTTTCTGGAGTCTAGAGTGGGGATGTTCGGATACATAGCTCTACTTCGTAAGCCGACATTTTCTGAGAATTAGGCTTTATGATATCTGCATAAACAATTTTTAGTTGAATGGCCGTGTACTCAAAAGTACCCCTGCTGCCTGAAGTCTTGAGTGGCAGCAGAGACAGATCAGCGATGCGAGCCTAAAGTACTTTGACTCTAAAATACATGATGATACTCCAGTATTTCACCTGTTAAGAGAGTACACAGTATCATAAAGTATACGCGCTCGTTGTATCGGGTCTGTCACCCTACGAACCTGGCCTGCATTCGTTTTTACACTTGTCCGCTTATCATTGGGTTTCAAGCATAGACAGCACATGCAGAGGTCTTTATTGGTATTGGCATGCAGTTGCCGGTCAACTTTGTTGGCTCACAGCCTGGTCTGCTGCAAGCTTACCCCACAACTCGTGTATATTCCAGGCAGAAATGCAAGCCACGAAACAGGCTCGGCGCTTAAATTACAATCACATCTATGGCATGGTCGAAGAAACAATGCACTTGATCTCGCCATTGTCGAAAGATTCCATCTCAATGACGACGAAACTCTCTTATATAGATCATGTTTGTCAACGAACACAAACAAACCCTTGCCTGAAACCTTTGGTTGACTACCTTGTCAAAGAGCCTCGCTTTAGGAGTAGGGTGCACATACTCGACATCCACAGCTCCCCGTCCTCGGTGTTTCAAGCAGTTGAAATCCCAGATGAAGAGATCTCTCGTATCTATCAACATAGTCCCCTCGTCTGCACTCGAATAGTCTTGGTCGAGAATATCAACTCTCGTCTCGTCAGTCAAATCGGAGAAGCACTTGATATCGACCCGTTATTTTTTGCTGGTCATATCATTACAGATTTTAAAGACATCGAGAACGCACCCCTGCCGCCATCTCTAGCAACTCTGCCATCAATCGCTGCCGAGAAAGGATATTTAAATATCCACTTTCAACAGGTGCTAGATCTGGGAAGCTCAGCTACCTTCAGAAACATGGCCTACTCTTTAAAAAGTGATTCTAATACTCCTCGAAACGTCAGGCGTCTACCTTCACTTTTTGGGAGACAGCTTGGTCTTGGTAGAGGCTGTTGCTCCATGCTCGTCAAGCGATTAAAGGAAACGTCGATCTGTAAGTCAATTCCGAGCTATTCTCTTTCATTGTTTTGGTTCTGACACTCTTTTGAAGGTCTGCTCTTAGTTGACCCTCCAATCACCCATGTCCAAGCTGAACTTCAGAGAACCTTTCCAGCAACGCGCCTTCATGGGGGAATCGAGGACTTCGAACAGTCGGCCTCTTCCAACGCTGTTTCCTATCAATCAGCTGACAAATATTGGAATAACCATTCAATGCTTAGTTGTTTACTCCATTACTTTGGAAGCAACCATTCAACCTTTCAAGATGTGCCTGTAACTATCTTGGGCCTAGCATACTACCCTGTGCGCATCATTCTTAATGAATGGAATGTGTATACCAGTCTAGTCAGCCGGTATTCTAAGTATTATGAATATTCTATAAGTGATATGACTTATCGACTTCATAATGATGATATTATCGACCTCCAGAGGTGGCGTCGACGAAGCCAGCAAAGTCAACACAAGTTAACAGCACTTGTAGACTTTATCAACTTCCAGCTTGACGAAGAACCCAAGCAGAAGCGTTGGACTCTGGTTCTCCAAGATATCCGCTATTTGCAGCGACAGATTGAGATCTACAGCATATCTCTAGAACAGATGCTTGCAGTAGCAACTTCAATGGTTCAAATTCTCGATTCAAGGAGATCGATTGTAGAGGCTCTTCACATTAAGCGTCTAACGTATGTCGCCTTGGTTTTTATACCGCTTTCATGGGTCGCAAGCCTCTTTAGTATGGGTGAAGGGTTCTTACCGGGGCAGGAATTCTTTTGGATATATTTTTGTATAAGCCTTCCGTTAGTTGTTTTTGTCTTGTTACTATCTGCCACTCCATATCATAAGCTCAGCAAATTATGTAAAAGGAAATAACAATCTATAGAAGTAATATTTTTATCTTAAATATATATTTAATATTAAAATTATTAGTTTATTATATTACTCTTACGTGTACCTAAAGCGAAGTGGCACTGAGGCGCCTGCATTATTAGGACGATGGTTTCGAGTCTATACAACCGCACCGTCTAGCCGTCGCTACAATCCTTTACTGCAAGAACATTGATAAATTCAACAAGAATTATTCCACTCCATGACGCAATGAACTCGAAGGTCTCACCCAGTGGCTCGCCATCCCGAGTGGGTTGGCATTGGCCCCGGATAGACTTATTCTGTATTCCGCTGCTTTGGAAACACCCAGGGGCTGTATTTCTGTGGTTGCTCCGTAGACCTGAGACTTCAAGAGTAAATGGCTTGTGACTTTGATGTGACCTTCTTGAGATGGTGCACAGGTCTTGCGTAGTCCCGTAAACCATTTCGTTGTAGTTATCAAGGATTCCACGAGCCACAGCACTAGATGGCCTGAGATACTAAGTAGGTTCTTGATGTTAGTAAATCTCCAAAAGACCTAGAACCTACAGATCTGTATCATAGACTTATGCCTTTCAGAAATTTATACAGCCTGTCCGGATCCCCGAGACTTGAAATCCACGTACCGATTCTCATGTATCTGAGTTCCATCTAGTCCCGAACCTTCGAGCAAGTTATCAGAGTGTCATGGTTTGAGTCACCAGGGGACTGAATTCAGACAAGCAGAGCCACATTTGCATAAAGGAATTTTGGACAGCAGCGACTCTAGATCTTCTCCCGCAGGGGTGTAAAGATATCCTTGAACACAATCTAGACACTCAAGCTCACCTTGCAGCCGCCGCACTATGTATAGTCAGTCTTGAAGCAGCGCGATACGAATGATTATGTCAATCTGTCCATCGTACCAGTGCTGAACCGCGGCGAAAGTGTTTAGTGTCCCTTGTAAAGTTCTTCTTGAGCAACGGCGAAATGTCGATGCTGACTCATTGAGGCGACGCAAAGAATTAGAGGAGATCCAGATCGTGAGCCAATTGTCATGAGATCAGAATCACGGAATTCAATGGCCAGGTTTTGAAGTGCAACATCACCGACTGAAATATCACCCCAGAAATAGTCTTGTTACTCGCCAGGGTCAACAGATTGTCACGACCGGACGCTTCCTTCGAGGGTAATCTTCAGTGGTTCTCCTGCAATTTCTATTGTCATATATCATAGAAAATCTAGCTCTTTATGCCTCCTCTTGTTCATCTGCTGCATTATCCGGAATACAAAGCTCGGAACTTCGAGCCTACGAGCTACGCTGAGCTACACCTATAGGTCACTTTTCTAACGGTAAAAAGGCCTGCTGCAGTCTAGATAACAGCTTGATCACACTGGGCACTAGTAACACGGTCACCGAATTTATATATCCTTTCAATGCTCACCTCCAGAGTGGCCATTCAGGACTTTTCTATTGTAATCTCTATTGATTCGATGTTGCCCCCGATGCAGCTTCTCTCTCTTCCGGATTCACAATACCGTTTTGCTGAGCTCAACTTGTAATTGCAACCACATATGAGATTTGGTAATACTACCACGATAATGGTCTATTCTTGCATGAATCTCTTCGTGAACCTCGGAAGCGCATTTCAAGATAGCACAGCGGACTGCACCAGACACTCGTAGCCTGCCAATTATGCGATGCAGGCCGTCCCATCCTCTCAAGCCAGAATAATGTATCTGATAACTGTAGCCTGGCCTTTGAAGTCCATGTCTGTGAAATTCGTCTCCCTAGCGTCCTTGCCACCAAAATCCGAGTTCCTCGAGTCCGTCTCTTGGAAGCCCGATCTCATAGTTTCGAGTTCATCTGAAGGAAACCGATTTGGTTCTAGTTAAGTCGTTGCAGTTATCTTTGGCATTACACGTGCTATGTTCCTACATTAAGCTGATGCGGGGCCGATGGGGGTCCCCATCCTAATCCATCTAGCATTTAGGCATCTCTCCAACAGGCATAATCGATACACGGAGCAGTGACTATTGCAAAAGTTGGGCCAGTAAATAAGTCGATGCTTGGCTATTGCACTGATTCATTGGCCTGAAAGCCCATTTAGAAGCCATATATACCTATGCACTGATCCCGGATCGAAGCAGGTATGTCGTAGTTGTTGAGGTCGATGTAAAGATAAGAATCGCCGGGCCGAGATGTAACTCGGGTGAGTGCTTTGTCTGAGGAATAAGGCCGTGCTGAACCTTACAGAGGATATCCAAAACTATCTCGGCAGGATCTTGTCAATGCGTCTTACATATCAATGTCATACTGCACACCAAGCATTTGGGGCAGGCGCATCGTGATATCCGCAACAACTTTCTTAGAAGATAAGTTGTAAATAAGACCTTTTGAATCAGGTTACCTGGTGCATCAGCAAAAGCAAACATGCAATTAAGTGCGTCTGAAAGCATGCTCTTTGCCAATCTTTCTTGGCTATGTACAAAGTCTCGGCATGGCTATCCTCTAAACGATGCTGCTGAGAAGATTTAGCTAACTCTGACTTGAGCATAGGCCACAAGCCCAGTTGACTCTCGTTGGGGCCCAGGCTCAGATATCACCCGATATCTTAAGATGTCTACATATCTTATCGCACGTGCATCAGCCAGATAAAGCTTATCTTAGCGCGACTTGGTTATCTCAACCCCACGCCTGTACCATCTTAAGATTTGCGATCCTCTCTGATTGGTGGGATTAAACCCCATGCGTAATTCGCTGGTCCATTCAACGACCAACTTCCCTCTGAGACACTTTCAATCAAAGGCTGACCAGGACTGGCTCTGTCTTTTATGACGGTAAGTTTATGAACATATATTGATCTACGCTGGTTACGTCTTGCTAAATATATTTTATGCGGGATGCACAGAAGTAAGGGAACGGAAGAGTTTAGTTATCAAAGAGCCAGGAGATAGTCACCTAGGGTAACCACTTGACGATAGGTAAGAAAAAGTGCCATGCGCTAAACACCAACCAAGTGCAAAGAGCCAAGCCATACTGCCGACTTCTTTGAATGTGTGTGATGGGAGTGAGTCCCTGGTTTTGTCTTTAGTGGTTTTGTAATACTTGCATGTGTTTGCTCTGAAGCGATTGAACCTTGGAATGTAAAGCAAAACCTTTATTGGTGCTCTGAGGATTTTATAACTAATTCAGACATGCCATATACAGCAATTCAAAATAAACCGCAAGCTTGAGCGATTCGATTGCAAAGCCCTCCTAAACCTTCCGACCTGGCCACATAATATTGCGATTTAGACCCTAATACCTTCATCTTAATGTTTATGGGAATGGTTAAGCGGTATTTGTTACTATACATCAATACTGAGGCGCAGAGCTCCCCTATTTCTCAAGAGCATGAGTGGCTTGAGTTATCTCTGAATACACAAACAAATGCTAAGGTGACGTTTTGGCTATACTAATATTTACTCAGATATTCTACTTTCCTGGCATGCACTTGAGCTCAAGCACGCGCTGACAGGAGCATCAGCTTGTATCGGATGGACTCGTCCAACCCGTTATCGCCAAATGCATAAAAAGATCAGATCCTTTAATGCATTCACGAATCAAAGTAAACAACATCAAAGGACCGGTCCATTCCGACTTTTCACAATGTCGCTGAGTCCCAGCTCCCAATAGTTTACCCTAACTTATGCAAACACAGGGGCCTTGCTTTTGTAGCTTAATGTCACAGCGTCGTCGTCCTCACTAGGTTGCTCACCTTTTATATTGATAAGAGCAGGATCTATGCCTGTTGTCGCGTTTACTGCACGGCCTTGAGAGGCATATCGAAACGTACTGAAATTCGTGAGGTCCAAGTTGTAAGTAGGTGATGTCGGCAGCAGGCACAATGATCTAACTCGGTGTTGTTTGGTGTAGTGGGGAGCGACCTTCTCATCCTGGAACAGAGAATACACCGCACATAATTACGTGCCGATTTTCTCCAGCCTCTATTATGTACAGGAACGGTCTGTCGAATACCAGGACCTCCTCGTTGATCACCGTAGAGCGCTTCCGGGCCACCATGACGACAGTCGCCGCTGCTGCTTCAGCCCCTTCCTCGTCAACCTTGATGGAGGCCTCATGGCTGATGGCCGTGACCTCCGTGGGTCCCGACCCCATTTCAGGATAGTTGCCTTTGATTGGGAACCCAAGACCTGCCAGCTCATCCATCAACGAGACATTGCTTCTGGTTTCGAACTTGGGAAACCCAAATTTAGTCAATTTCCTCCTCCGGAACGAAGGACCTTCTGACTGGGTCGTGGATAACTGCTCCAGGAGTGCCCTTATTGTAATTCCAGGATTGGGAAGCCATGCGACCAAGGCCGCCGGTGAAGAGTCTGATTCCGTGGCATACGGAACTCGGACAGCGGTATAATTGCTGCTGGACGCTGTTTCAACATACTCCTTATAAAGAAACATCATCTCTGCTGCTCGGATGCTCCCATTCTCTAGGTGGAAGGGATGCTCTAAAACTGTGTTCTCCCGCTTGAACTTGGTTTTCCATGTACCTCTAAAAGCTGTAGCGTTTGCAAGAACGACATGGCATTTGCGCAAGGCGCGCGAGCTAAGCAAATCTGTGATTCGGCCTAGCGTGTTTTGGGATATCCAGGAATTAATATCCTTTACCGAATCGGCAAGGGATAGAAATTGCCACGACTGAGCTTGGAATGCCTCTAGATACTTCTTGTATTTGGTCGCAATTTCGACCGATTGGTCGACAAAGACAGCGTTGGCCAGTGATATGATATCCTGTTTAGCTAGAGGTGCTAGGTCTGCGTATAGAGCTGAAAGATGGGCCTCCAAACCTCCAGCTACGCCGAGCTTCTGCTGTAATTGTGATCGGCGATGGTAGTCTGCTGCCCCAGCTAGCATAGCGACGGCTATGAGGACTGAAATTGGCGATAGAACCGTTGCCTCGACTTGATCAGCGTGCTGGAAGCCAGCGACGCGCTGCAATAAGCTCCACCCTATGTTTTGAGTGGTTTGGGTGATTGAGGGACAAGTGGCCAGTTCATCCTTTTCTTGATACCTCTGCTCCACTAACTGCTGCGTATGCTTGCCCGGTGCTGAGGATGGGCCGGATAGTTGGTGCGGTATTTGCTGGAGGCGCGGGGCTGGAACGGGTATGTCCCAAGACGATGCGGTCTCAATGACAGGATCTTTCCTAGCGAGGCGCTTTGAGCGACGAGGTAAATCCATAGCGAGGCTAAGATATTGGACAGTGTTAGCAGTAGATATGAAAGTTTAATTAATTGGAAGTTGAGACATAAAGGTTCTTGGGGTTCTTCCCTTCGCGCTACGAAAGCCCCCGCATTCAAGTCACGAGTCGGCGGCTCGGTCCGCTGCTAGAGTTTGAGGTTAACCTGTATTCGAATATGAATCCCCCAGAGAAGAGAATCATAATATAGCGATGATTGTTGTGACCACTGATAATGACCTATTGATCCACGAACTGTGAACTTTTGGACGCGCATCTTTTGAACCCAACGCCTTAGAGCGTTGTTACGGGCACAAATTGTAACATTACAAGCACTACTGACCATCAAGAGACGTGACAACCCAACCTGCTCAGTACAACCCCCTGCGTATCCTGTCAACAGAAACCTAATACGGACTAGCTCCCCTGTTTGGAATCCCAACTATCACAAACTTGGTGAAAATTCGTGCCTTACATAGCTAATTTATGTTTATTTATTGTCTGCGATACCTTAAAAGTAAAATAAGGAAAAACATTAATCTTGCATCAACATAGTTTCCCTTAGACATAAGCATCGATTGCATCAACGATGATCGCTGTCAGATTCGCCTGAAACCTCGCTACCCTACAGCAGTCATCAATGTCAACCTTACTCCTCATAATAGGCAGAAGTGTATCAACGTTATTCCTTGTGGCTATGAGGAAAGAAGCCACCCAGTCTTGCTTCCCAATTTTCCTAAACATGGTTTTCTGGAAGGAGGTGTCAGCTGGGACCCATAACAATCGTGACCATCAGGCGAGAACGTACCTTGGAAGCAAATGTGCCCAAGAATCTTTTATCAATATCGAAGTGTGAGATAAGCTCATCAGCGATAGCTTTGCTGTCAGAGCGGCAGAGCTGGCCGACGGTGCTACAGTCTGCAATCAGACGCTTCGCGGCCTGGGACTGTTCACCTGAAGCACCATAGACGACATCAAAAGTCTCTGGACTGCCATCAAAAGCATCCAGAGCTTTTCCTAAATCGGTTGCGCGCTCATCATAGCGAAGGAGGTCCTGTAGGATCTCAGGTCCAGTACTACCAGTCTTGAGCTCACAGGCTGTGACCAGGGTGCCTGATGCAAGAAGGAGTGCTGTCTTGAAAAACTTCATAATCGACGACAGACCTGGAAATTCTGCAAAGATATATGTAAATGCTCGCGAATGAAAAAGTAGAATACTTGTCATAATAATTGTTGGAACAATCATTGCCAGGTACTTATATGCTTCTCTTTTCAGGGCGACGACCGAATCGTGTTGACGCCATCATTCTTGATAACTCCCTGGAGTCACGCCAATACCACACCGATGCAAGTAAATACCTCTAGTATCGCAAGAAATGGTTCTGGTCAGTACCATACATGAACGGGTCATGCTGTCTCAGTTCCAAGCTTCTTCGATGAAAAAGGCGAGTCTAGATCATCATACATTATGCGGCTTAACTTCCCACCAATCTCTGTAGACATTAGACGAGCAATGAATCACTCAAGTTGTGCCTGTGAGACATAACGAGCTTCGTACTTCTTTGGGATTGGAGAAATAACTATTGGTGAGCGCCATGGCTTTTCTTCACAGGCTTAACCGTCCCGTCTTCAAATGATTTGCTTTGTCTCAGAATCAGTCGTGGAGAGCCGTGCCGTGTAGAGCCGTGCCGTGCTGTGCCGTGCCGTGCCGTGCCGTTCTTGGATCCATAGATCGCCATTACTGTAGTCCGAATTGTTCCAGATTTGACCTGTCACATGAACCTGAAGTGTTTCTCTTGTTCTACGTATCATATCGTTGATTTTCATTTGAGATCGGTGTTCGAGAGTGAAAACCCGACCTTTTAGCTCTCGGACTCATTCTCTGAAGGGAACTTGACTCTATATGCTCAAATAGCCTTTTTTTATGCTGGAATTAGGAGCATAAAATAGGCGCATCATCGTACATTGTTTCGGCTGAGCTGACCTGTCAAGGCTTGATGGAGACGCACCATATGTCTAGCCGATTTTGTTTTGGCATTCAGATTTACTACAGGAAGAATGTAGATGCAAGGCTATAAAGCAGGAAGAGATGGACTTCATGACCAATCGTCTTCCATACATGTGCATCTAAATGGAATAAACAAATTGACTGACCCCTGTGCCAAGCTCCTCAAGTTTCATCCTTGGCCCAAATTAGGCCTCGCTCCCGCTGAAATCTCCCTTGAAACAACATCACAACGCTCGTTCAAAGAAAACCCGAGTCACAGTGCCGTAGTTCATGTGCGGAACGGCACAACAGATGTCCCCTACAACATCGGAGTTGTTGCGATAGGCCTGCACCACATTCTCGATCGGTGAGACATACTCCGAGTTGATAACAGTGCCCGTTGACCCATCAGCATTTTTCCGAGGGTATACAGGATGAAGGATAGTGGTGTACTGGCAGTTGTTGTAATTTAGCCCCATAATTTGTATAGGGAGCTCGGCCAGCGTATATCGCATAAAGCTCTCAATTCTTTTCTCAGTTAGAGTGGCAACAGCTAACCGGCGCTTGATATAGAACTCAGAGCTTGATCGTAGATCTTTCTCAAATGACCCTCGGTACTTATACATAATATCCAGCAGCTTATGGTAGTCTTCATCTTCGATATCTGACCAGCGTAAAATGGCTATAGTGGCCGAGAGCTGCTTGTCGTCACTAAGCTGATTAATCGTATCGTGGAGAATTGCTTCTAATTCATCGCCTTTTATGGTTGCTGCGCGCTGGGCTTTGCCAATAGTCATTTTCTTTGGAATCATCATTTCGTATTTATGAATGTCATCACAAATAAGAAAGACGATATCGTTGAACCTTTCCTGAAGAGAATTGACGAGATCACGGATGTTATCGGAGACCCGCAAGGGAGTCTCTCCAAGACTGATGGCCACAGCGCAGCGGCTATTAGCAGCAGACGTTTCGATTTCGAGAGGATACATGATTTTTCGCGTTGCGTTTTGAGAAAGACGGTAGAATATAGCTTGGTGATTGTTGTTGATGGCTCTCAAATTGTCTTTCTTCCTGGCTGGAGAGAGGGTTTATATAAGTAGCCCATAGCAGCATTTTCGAACGCGCTTTCCTGACGAGTTGAAGAATGATGTAAATAGACGTCATGGCCAAACATTAGACGTCATCATACCGATTCAGCATGTATTTATTCTCGCCTCTGACGATTCAACAACATAGTATGATCAGATCCGTTGCGACGACAGCCGATACGATTGTAAAGTGATGACAACATCCCACATCAATACTGTCACGCATCGAAATCGGCTTTCGGCGCACGGATCTAGGGCAGTCATTCACAAGGCCTCGGACTATTTTTCGATTTGATCTTATGCACGAGGTGATCGCAACAAATAGCCAGGTTGTGTATAGTTCCGTATCTGAGCTAAGAGCACGTCATTGATAAAGCAGCCGGTATTGTTTCATCGTTATTTAGTGACGATTAGATCTTGAAGAACCATATGCGTCGACTGACAGCTACGTCTGAGGCCATCGTCATCGGATAGACTGCTATAATCGGCGTTGATCCACATACGAATTGAAGGGTTGGCAGGAGGTCCGAGTAACCTGTTACGTTGTTCCAGTGAAACAGAGACAATTTTAAATTTATGTAGCGATCCTCTCAATCTATTTAGTTCACTACCAAATGACATTATCTCGTACAAAACTTTACTATTTGGTGTTTACGCGATCACGAACTATCATGCTCTATTTCTATACACCTTAGCGCTGTCTTCCTTTGTCATAGCTAATCAGACACTCGTTGAGCTGTGTCCTTAGACCTTAATCCTAATATTAGTGCCCACTCTGGCCACTCTTAGAGCTGTAAAGAATAATGCGCTGAGTAACATTGAGATACCGGTGAAGACCTGTGCGGGGAAATAACTCCCATTTGTGTGCTGAATAAGGGTGCCACTAATCGAAGGGCCGGTCAGGAGGGCCACGCTGGTGAGACTTGTCACCATGCCTGCGCGTGTCGCCAATTTCTGAGGGTCAGTCGTCAGGGAGCCGAGGAATGCGAATGAGAGAGCTTGCACGGAATGTGCAACAAATCCATAAAACACGGCGAAGATGTAGAGGCCGATCTGGCTCTGGACTTGGCTCCAAAGAAATGCGAGCAAGCTAGCCAGTGCTGTTAAGGGTATGAGCAGGTTCAGGACGCCGGTACATTTTGCGGCGACTATGCCAGGCGCCAGACGACCGATAAGACCCGCACCATTTAGTACGAGAATCAAATTGACTGTGCCTGTCATACCGATGGAATCCCTGGCAAAAGTGCCGATATAGAAGAAAACAGTGTAAAGACCCCAAAACGTAAAGTACATAGCGACCGTAAAGAACCAGAACTGAATTTCTCTCAGTGCTGAAGGGTCGATCAAAGGTCCAGACTTGCGGGGAGCTAGTCGCGGCGAATACCAGATCAGACACGGAATGTAGGTCAGAAGCATTACGAAACCAATGCATCGCATTGCCCAACCGTATCCAGCACCTTGAGCAGCAATAAGACGTTCTGTCAGAACTGGAAACACTAGACCGCCGGTTGCTGCACCAGAAGACCCAATACTGATAGCTATAGCACGCTTTGTGCTGAAGTAAGTCGACGTGACAGCCATAGAAGGGACTAGCACGAGACCATTGCCGATACCAACACAGATACCCTGCGAGAGAAATATCTGGTAGTATGAGGAACCCAGAGATGCCATGAGAATTCCAAGAAGCTGAAAAAAGACGCCTATGATGAAGGTGATTCTGAAATAGCCCATGTCAGTGGCCCGACCGGAAAACGTGCCAATAACAAAGAGGCAGAAGACTTGGACGCTTCCAATCCAAGAAATTGTTGACTGTGACTGGCTTGAGAGAAGTTCAGCTGCATAGTATTGCTGGAATACTCCAAAGCTATTATTTACACCCCAGGTATTGAAGCAAACGATGTGCAAGAATACTGTGTGCATCCAAGCTTTTGATCCGCCGTCGGGTGGTGGAGATATCGCAGTGGAACCAGCGGCATGACCCTCGGCTTGTTTCTCGTGTAGCGGTACCCGTGGCGGTATGTGGTCATCAGTAATAGATGATTGTGAGTGGCTGTGATGAAAGATCATTGTGATATATTGCTTGGTCAAACAACCCAAGTTTGATGTTGTATATGCTCGGAAGACCTAGACGGTTGTAATGCAGCTCGTCCACTGCCCGAATCAAGCCAGCTTTGAAGTTAACATATACGCCGATACTCAGGCATACTGATACAATACCTGCTTCAAGTGTAAGCATCATCGAGAAAATAGTTCAGCGACCTTTTCCTGTTATCCAGTCTTCGATATTCTGTCAAACGTCACTGATAAGAAAGTGGATGAATACAAAGGTGCTATACGTGTAGAAAAGAGACTTGGGTCTCACATAAGTGTAGCAGGGCGTCCATGAGGCGTAAATGTATAAAATATCTTTCATCACACCATCTCCGACAGGGTTGTCTCATTCATCTTGAATTGTTATAACTAATCACACAATAGCTTCTGACATCTTTCCCCTTTGCGAAGATAACAGGCAAATCTCCTGTGAACTCCGGCGAACAATGCCTCTTTGTGGGCTGTCATCATCGAGTAGAAGATATAGCGATACGTGTCGACTCTAAACTCTTCCATATACTGCAGGTGTCTCAAATGTGCCGTGTTTCGGATGAGCCGTCTCTTATTTGGGCCATATACTGTCATAGAATATTTTTGTTATTTTCAGTTATCCCACGCCCAGGATAATCGTGCGATTCGTAACTCAGGTTTTAAATGCAAACAATTGTTAGTGATGCATCCTTCTGTGGGTCGAAAGTGATGGCGAATCAGGACCCTAGAGCCGACGAACTACGTGTCACATTTGTCTTGTTTTGAGGCCCCCTATGACATCCCATTTGCGGCAGAATCGCATTCCACAACCGGATTGGATAGATTCCGCAACGCGGCTTCATCCTGGTGTAATCCTTATCAGTCTATATATTCGGGCTTAGAAAGATAGGAAAGCAATCTGCTAGAACCCGATGGTCGTGTATCCAAGAAAGAATCCTGTTAACTATATCTAATAATTCGTAAGCATAGTCCTTTAAAATAATTCTTAAAATGGAATAATGCATGAAACACTGGTAGATAAGTCCTGTATGTACTGGCGTATAAGCAGATGACCTGTAGAAGCTAAATTTTTACTGGTTGGGTCCTTGGCACCAGGTCATTTCGCTGCATGCATTACACAATGTGTTCCAGCTGCACAGACGGCTCGGAGCTGCACGGACGGCACAGAGAGCGCCACCATGCGTTACTACATTTCTACCAAATGCAGCGTTATCAGTGGTCCTTTGGCGGGAGCCTCCATTGCACATGTTAAGCTCGCAAAAGTTTGTTTTAATTAGGAAGAATAACGTTTACTCCGCTAGCTTGCGATGGAATGCTAAACAGGACTGCTAGACATAAGCACATATAGGCACTCCAGCATGACCCAATGGAAAATCACTTGTGGTAAACCCTGCAGTCAATCTGGGCTTTGTTTTCAAGAAATAGATCAATCTACGGCGGAGCGGGCTGCTGGATTTAGAAGCCAACAATCTGGCAACTTATGTTATAGACATCTTGGCCTATCTTGGCACCCTTTTCCACTGATCAGCGAGATCCACTCGCATAAAATGTTGAATCTCATACATTGTCTCGCTATGATGCTTATATCGCTCATTACGCCATTTTACCAATGGCGAGATGGTCGGAGGCCTCAATATCACACTCACCGATATACGGAAACGTATACCTGCCGGCCTTTAATGAGTAGTTTGCGCCCAATCTATAGCAGAATCACTAATCAGGGTCTAGAGCAAGATTCAAGTTCAAGGTTTGGGTATGTTTTCATAATAGACTTTCTGCATATTAACCTTAAGGTATAATAAAAGTATTAAGTCTAGTTAATTATACGCTATTGCCATTAATAAATCCTCCTTTCTGTAATTGCAGAAATTGCTTAAAATAAGTATTAATACTAAAATCTAGAAAAGCTTTATAATAAGTATTTAGCCTATTATCTCCTTGCTTAAATAAATCATACAAGGCTTCTAGGAAGTAATAATAACTATTATTATAACTATAGCAGATTACTGACTATTAGTCATAGCAGAAGTGCCTGAATCCGATAGAAAGTCTATAATAACCAGTATAGCAGGAAAAGTAAAGATGTTATACTGAACCGACTTTAGCATACGCTTACAAATATCTTTCGATATAATGTGCGTATGGCGCTGAGCGCCTGCAGTAAAGATTGGTAACGAAGTTATGAGACATTTTAAAGAGGATAATGCAGTAATTTAAGTTAAAGTATTTGTGGGTCCTTAAAAGGTATTATTAAGGTTACTTTAAAGAAATTGATATTAAAATCAGAGGGATAGCCATTCAGAGCCATTTTGTATCCTTTATAGTTTCTCATGATTCACCCATTCTTAAGCAGGAGATTTCCGTCAATTTACGGTAGCTTGAAAAGCGAGACTAAAATTGTGTGTGGAGTGAAGTCAATGGAGAGTGGTACATACGTAATGGTCGTATGATGCCATACTACATCTCCGATGCATCTTTCGGTGGTTGAAACTTGGAATTTGAGACAAAAAGTGATCCCGCTTCCATGGAAAGCGTCACCATAATGTAATGACGTTTATAAAATTGCCCAGGATCGAAGTCCCTGAGGCTCCGGATGATCACCATCGCAGCAGTAGACACATGCCTTCCGGTGTTGACATTTGGAAAGACCTATGGCCTCATTCGCATGAGTCATAGAAGAAACCATGCGATTCCGCCTATAGCCACATGAATCAGCCGTGGTGTAAACCAACATAGAGCTTCCTGTACGATAACGGATCGGGCAGTACTCCGTATGATCAAAGATAGACATGGTATAGCAGTTCTGGCTGCATTGAGAAGAGATAAGGCTCGGTATAAAGTATAAGACGTCATATGTAGTGAGCTGAAGCTTATCAGGGCACGGGCAAGTGTCATGGCGCTCACCGAATTTGGGGACGTTGGGCGCAGGCATGTTTCACCCATTTACGATCGCTGGTTTCAAGGTCGCCCTACTTCCCGCCATCCATGATACAGTGTGGAATATTCATATGTCACTTTTACTTCACATACTGTCACCGTGGCCTTTCATACTACCGGCTATGTCGCTCCATCTGTAGAGAAATCAGCATCTCATCCTCCCCGTTTCAGGCATCACGCAAACCACTAGTACTATAAGTGTCACCATGGTTCGGTTTATAATTGGAAACTATCCTTGAAAAGACGGTTCGATACATATTAAGTTTACTAATGGACAATAAAGCATTTATGTTATCGACATGCTGGATGCCCGTTCTGCCGAATCAGGCCAAGTGATGTGAGGAGATGTTATGGCCCCGTGCCTCAGCCAATACTCGGATCAAGTTGACCGGGACTTTTTTTTTCCATGTTGAACTAAGTGGTCTATCTCTTTCTCTGAGCTTTAATGATCGTAAAGCCGTGAAGGAGGCTCTGCAAGTCTGTACAGTAACCTCCCTATAAGCGCTTTCGACAAGATGCCATGTTTTTCCAGAAGCTGATCGAATTCCTCATACCCCCAAAGTTTCTCAACCACACAAGCACTAAATTCCACAACCATATCCCTCAACTGGTCCGGCACTAGGTCTTCGAAAGTATATCGCACTAGATCTACCATATTTCTATAGTCCACACCCTCCGTGCACAAATCTGTTAACTCATCATAAAGTTTTCTCTGAGATACTTCTGAAAGTCTTTCAATTCCATAGCGGTCGGCCAGCGTAAAGACTTTAGCATGGTGTACCAAGGTGTTTGCCTGGTCTTTGAGTGAAATATTGGCATCGATAGTCTGAGGTTGGATTTCCCAAGAATGGAGAAATTTACACCATATTAACGACTTTCCAACACTTGTCTTCTTCTCCTGCCGTATTGCTGATATAGGACTCAAAGCTCTAGGCACCCAGGATATATAAGGCCAGGATATTTCAGTATACTCTGACCCTGAACCGAACTCTACTTCTGGATCTTGTGGTTCTTGCTCTTCTGATTCCGGTTCTTCTGGATCTGTTACTGCTTCTGCTTCAGCAGGTTTATCTGAAGTATCTGATTTATGGTCTTCCATGCCGGAAGTCCTTTGAGCGGGTGGAAGTGGTTCTGGAGTGTCGTAGTCTCCTGTATAGACAAACTGCCAGAAACTGTTGAAGACTATCTCGTCTACATCGTCCCATTTGACACAACGTTCTTGCGATTCTTGGAATTTGCCATTCACCATGGCAGCGAGAGCTGGTGACTGATGTGCGACAAGAGCTGAATGAATAGTGTATTCTGTTTGGAGAGGGCCGACCAGAAATCTGAACGGTTTTGACGTCGCGACCCTATTGATGCTGATCAGCATCAAGGTGGTTATTGTGCTATTTGTAGGCAGGATACTTACGCCTTCTTTGCTATGCGCTCCATTCTTGGAATGACAGTTATACCATGGATCTATAGCCAAAGAAATTGCGCAATTTACAGACTGATTGTATTGTCTTCGAGGAAAATTGGGAAACTTCTCAGTTCGGAGTCATTCACTCAGTGCAAGTTCCCCTCAGTTATGCTCAAACACTTGTCAGCTGTTCATTGGTCCACCCACACTGTGTATCTAAGTAGTCATCATCCTGCATGCAGCGGTGATAAGAAGACCTTCAGATGTTGTATCTTGATCACAACTGAGCCCTGAGAATCACCATGTCTCTAGTATCTCCTTTACATAAGTGGGAGAATCAAAATTTGAGAAACAGACCCAGATTGGGGTAGACTTGAATTCTACAAAGGTTGACTTCGATTTCGGACTAGTATTTGGTTACGCAGGAAAACACCCGGCAGCAGTGCATCAAACTCTAACGTTCCGATTCTGGCCTGTCAGTTTCTATCGCAAGCAATGTGACGGCCAGCCCGATGTCACTATGGGGAGTCGGAAATCGAGACAATCGGGGCAAGCTCCGAACAAATATCAACCGACACATTTACCGCTACTAGCTTGTGACTGGGCAGAACAAGATGAGATTCTTTTAACCAAGGGGCAGGGAATGATCCGACTCAAACGAGAAGAAGATGCTCATACATTAAAAGCTTGATGCTGAGGTGGATGTAGCCGCCATGCCTCTCTGCTGTTGGTTGTTTCTATTGCTGTCTAGTGTGAATGATGGTTTCGATGTAGTTCGATCAACCCATCATCCAGAAGACCGCCAGTGTAGACTCAATATGTGATAATGATACAGCTTGACTCTGGTATTATAAGAGCTTGTAGAAATCACAAGTCCCCGGAGGATCGACTGATACAAGGTGATTGGCCTTGCATGACGTTTCTGTAACGGAGAAATGTTGAAGCAAGATGCTGAACCCATTAGGGCCTTGAAATCCGCCATCGGACTTCATCAAGCCGAGGCCGTTCTATAACCAATCCGGCCCCATCTCCTTCGAGAAGCCTTTATATGAGATCCTAATAGGTACCGGCGAGTATACCTGGTGGTCTGTGAGATCGAAGCGCGATCGCGGCTTTATCGCCATAAAGATGAAGGCTGTGATTTCTGTGCTGAGTAGCTGATTGGGTTGAGGCGAGGATAAGAGGGGATTTTATAATATGTTAACAATAGAATGGTTGAGCGTGAGTATCTTAAGATGCTGAAATCGCGCCAAGATAAGCTTAGTCAGAGTGATCTGAGGTGCAAATCTTTTGACCTTTCTCCTTTTGGCCCATGACCTTGGGCGGCCGCGAGCACCTTGGCTTCCAGATTCCACCTGGGCAACCGCAGGACTGGCCCTTCGTCTAGTCTACGGAGAAAACCGTTATTAGTATGCTATCTTCATTATATTTCGCATTTCTATCCCTGATAAGCCCGTGAGCGCGCAAGTAATCGTCAGTAACGCCATGTCACCAGCTGCAATCAGTCCTCACTGCCTCGGTATTGGACGGGTAGAGTTAAAATCTCTGAAGCATATCACAGTTGGTTTATGTCAAATATGGACAGAACAGACTTCTGGTTCATTTACTGCATCAAGAGCGGTCTCCAGATCATCTGTTATTCGATCGCTGAGTCGTCTCCTAGGTCGTACCGTCGAAGCCGTAATTGCTCTTCGTGGCGCCACGGCAATTTCCATTGGAGAGCACACAACATCCTCTAACCCTTCAAAGGACAAAATCTGGGTGCTTGTGTTACAGCGGACTTCAGCTGAGGAGAGCCACTTAAATGTAAATGCCGTGGTAGGCTGCAGATAAGAAGCTTGGCGAATAGAAATGCGCCGATAAACTGAATTCTGATGTCAACTTCTCTGCTCTAAGAACATTTTATCTGGACTGCTTTTACAGAGTGAGATGTATGGCACTATTGCTAACTGTGATAGGCATTTTAAATCAAATGGGATTACGAAGGTATAGGGTTGGGTTTAGAAAGACACAAAAGTCATTAGTGGGGAACTGTTACTGGCATATTCAGCTGCAACCAATAGTCTAGAGTTATTTAGCGCCCAAGTCAGAGGCTGACTCGTATGTGGCCGTGCATTAATGAGGTGAATTATGAGATTTAAACTACAGATATACCTTTACTTTTATAAATTTGTTTGCCTAAACATTTAATCACCTCTCTCCACCATCTGTTATCTGCCAGTCTTCTTGAACATTCTTATGTACCATTTAGTTAGTGCATTCCCGCTAAAAGCGGTAGTCATCTCTGTAGCCGCTGTGTTAAATGTGATTTGAGGTTTCTGTTGGCTCAAGACGCGCCATCACCGTCTCAAGGCACGTCATAATTGGCGGATAAATATAGACTCTGATATATGACAGGTCAGCTACACTTAAAGGGGTAGGACTTTTTCCCAGGACGAAGCTCAACTTTCTTCTTTGCTTCCTGCCATTACTACCATTTTCACACACCACTACTTCAACCTAGCAAACATGTCAAATACTCGCGTTGCAATCGACCCCAATGGTGACACTCTAGTCATCCTTGTAACCAAGCAGGACCCTTCTCCCTCCAAAGAACCTACCAAACCTGCTGGCACCATTGAATCACCAACATTCATTGAGCAACATTTTCTCTGCTCTCAGAAGCACCTGACACTTGCATCGCGTCGTGCTTCTAAGTTGTTCTCGAGCGCCTTCAAAGAAGCTTCAAAACAAGATGATGGTCTTTATCATTGGAACTTTGGAGATGTTTTCAATGTGCAAGCCTTTGAGGTGGTCTTGAAAATCATACACGGTAAAACCCGCGGAGTTCCCCAGACTCCTGAATTAGATCTTCTATCAAACATCGCTTCTATTGTTGATGATCTGGAGTGCTATGATGCACTATCGTTCTGCACTGAGAGATGGCTTGAGTCATACATTGGGTTCTTTTTTAAACAACCGGAAAAAATGGATAAGTCACTGGCACAACTTATTCTCGTTTCTTTTGTGTTTGAGTATAAATATCTGTTTCGAGATTGCATACGAAAAGCTACTCGGTATACCTGCGAGGGTATGCCTACATTTGATCTGCCAATCCGCGCAGATATTCCAAGTATGTCGCCTTGTGCGTGATAGCTTATGCTTACAAAGATAGGGCGCATTGAAAAAAGTCGGACAGAGGTCCTACAGTACCTAGTTGATGGATTATATAAGGTTCACGATGACCTTCTTCAGCGGAAGCTGGGATGTAGTGGAGGTTGTAGAGCTTTGCTCCTAGGATCTTTGCTTCAGGTCATGACAGCAGCCGGCCTGTACCCACGACCCGAATCTCCGTTTTACTCGCTTAGAATCGACTCGATTATCAATTTTCTGCGCGATATGCAGCCATCGATTTATTACAGTTCGGTAACAGGGGGCCTCGCAGGAAAACATTCTGGTTCATGGCTACTAGCCGAGCATCCAGCATCTCCAACTGCTTCCCAGTCGAATACTGCTACTACTCAATCAACTCCAGGCCTTTTCGGGCCTGGTTCCTCAGGTTCCTCTACCTCCACTGGGGCTCAATATACCTCCGATCCACGTCCAGCTCATGGTGGAGTCTTTGGTGCTCCTAGAGTTGAACGCCGGGGGGTCCCCACTTCAAATAACCCCCGAACAAGCGCTGGACTTTTTGGTGCAAGCACAGCACCTCAGCCTACATTTACCCCCATAGCTGCTTCTGGAGGACTTTTTGGAGCAAGGCCCGTGCCTCAAGCAAGCGATCAGTTTAGTCCAGATCCTGCTAAGAACGAGGAGGCGCCAAAGAAGCTTGTTCAACACAGCTGTTCTCTGAACAGTTTCATCGATCCTCTGTTGCTTGTAGCAGAGAGTAAGATCGAAGGGTTAAAATTGGATGACCTTCCTTAATCATGGTTAATAGACAGCTGAATGTTGTCTTGCAAGAACTACTTATCGTGAGAAGAAGTTGAACATGCAAGTTTGTTAATTCTTTATGATAAGATTGTAGGGAGAAAAGGGCCCTGTAACTTGATATAACTGTATTGATAGTATAAGGGTTGAAATTGCTGCTTTTATAAGAATTGTAGAAAGATCTGCTTAAGACAATATCTAACTTCTGAACCTCGGGGGCAGTACATTCGTAATTCATCATAGCATTCTGGCTTAGTTCACTGATACGTCTTACTTTCTATCCTTCCAGCAGACTATTATCCTCCTTAAGAGCGAACTCCTAACGAAGAGCGATGTATATCCATACTCATGCGTAAAGACCTTCTATATACTGCTTTTCCAAGCCTGAGCTGCGGACGTGTTGGCATAGACGAATACAATATTGAGATCTTTATGTTCACGGAAGAAAGTTGGAGTCAAGGCCGCTAAGGTTATAGGGGTTAAATTCAGGCTGACTTTCAGAGGATTTAGAAATGGTTTCGAGATTTCAAAAGTATAAACAGTTGGCCAGCCCTGTGTAGGTATTTGCGTCTATTGCCTGATCGGGTGACTGCATGTCCAAATTTGAGATTGCCCTTGGAATTATAAAAACGCGGCAATGCAGAACAACGAGGTGCAGAAGCGGACGATAATGCTTAAGAGATTATAATTTATGTATATATTAACTGAATCCCTTTACACTTATTTGGCATTCTCATCCGGAGTATAGTGGCTGACTTAGACCTGAAGCGTACTATTAATATTGAGAATGCTCTATGAAGATGGGAGGTTGACCCGTGATATAAGGGCCAATCTATTGAATGTAAATAAAACTAATAGGCAGCGATATAATTCTTAAATAATGAGACAGCTGTATTATGTAAGAATTTTGACATGGACTGGCGTCGGCTATAGGAAAACCTGGGGATTCTTGTCAAGCTTGCCTTAGCTCAATTTCTCACATCTAGCGGACGCCATTGGCTATTTCAGCTTAGCCAATTCAAGGTCTTTTGTTACCCCGCCCTCATGCTCATTTCTGTATAGTTGTCCCAACTAGACTTGTCCACCGAAACATCTTGTAACGCCCCTGTAGCTAACCGTAAAATGCAGTCAGACTCGCGGCCAGATGAGGTATTTTTGGCGAAATTGCTTGTAAATGATGCTTGTCTTGATACCATCACATCATGCACGGCAAGTTTGAGCTACCTAACCAACAGCATAATACTGTGGAGATTAGATGTACAGGCCCAATAGCATGTTTTTATGGGGCCACCCCTGATTGCCCGACCAAGGGTTATGGCAAGCTCTACACCCTAAAACGTTTGTTTGCAGGACACTAAGAACGCCAGGATCCCCTTTTAATAAGAGCTTGAACAGCTGGAATTCAACAAATTGTCACATTTCGCCCCTTATCAATCTAGGTCAATTTTCACGTCTTTTCCAGTTCACCTTTATCTTTCCAGTCATACTGCTCTCTACATTCCTAATTCAAGTCAACAAGCAGACTACCCGATGTCACTCGGTCGCGAAGTGACAAAGAGCCATCAGCAGAGCTCTGCAAGAGACCAGGACAATTCTGGCCAACCTCAGGAAATACGCCACATAAGCGAGATTTCAATCAGGAACCCTGATATTCCACCATGCCAGGCTACGCTCGACGTAGACATGCACGTCACAAGTAACAGAGACGAAAACAGCAAGTCAAGTTACTCAATATTAACTCACGCGAACTTCAGAATAATGGGGATTCGCTCATAAGTAATCAAGATGCGCTTGGGACAAACTATGCACTACGGAGAAACTGCATCTTTCGTAGCTGGTGGCAAGAGATTGCCTGGTGTGTTTTTGCTGCTGGACTGCTGGTTTTACTTGTGGTTTTACTCAAGACCCATGACAAGAAACCAGCCCCCGAATGGTTCGTCTCACTGAATGCAGTCGTCGCTGCTATTGCTACAATATGTCGCGCTTCGATGGTTATTCCTGTTTCAGAAGGCCTGTCCCAACTCAAATGGAATGCCTTTGCTCGATCTCAACGTCCCCTTGATGACTTGAAAACTTTCGATCAAGCAAGTCGCGGCCCCTTTGGCTCTTTGCTGTTACTGTCAAAAACCAGGGGAAGGTTAGTCTACATTCCGACACCAAATATTAGCTGCGTATCTAACCTTGTAATGAAGACTATTAGGTGTAAGCACGGTTGCAGCCGTCGTACTTATTTCTGGCTTGGCAACATCATCACTTACACAGGCAACCATTGCGTTTGGGCCTCAAATGCGAAGACTGTCAGAGAACGCTATTGCCAACAAGGCCAGTAGTATCAATTCAAATGACTGGCAAGAGCTGAAAGAACAGTTGATGAACGGTGCTTTCCAAGCATAGTTCATTAGCGAGAGACAGCGGAAAACCCTCCAGCTGAACCCAAGTTGCCCATCTTCTTGCCATTGGAATAAGTTCAGAACCATTGATATTTGTGATGTGCAACGAAACGTCACAGACCAACTGAAGCTTCAACTTCGAGATCCAGATAACCTGGGTGATTTTGACGAGACGCAGGGCGTGGATCCAGGTGAAGATCAAGATGCAGAGTACTGGAGTGTTACACTGGGCGACAGTTTTCGGGTTGACGACATGAACGCCTACAACTGGGTTGCTGCCACTGAATCGATGCGCGCTGAAATGGCCAAGGGTTTATGCGGAGATGATATGGATAAGTTTCCCATTACTACCCTAACCACACAGCTTTTTATCTACAAAAAGCTCTCATATCCGGGAGACCCGCCTGTACGATCGTATAAGGGAGCCATGAGCCCATACAGAGCCGTTGCGGTAACTTGGTACTGGTGCATCAAGGAGTATGAAATGGATTTGACGGCTGGCGCGACCCATATCAAAGCTGAAGAAACTGATTATCAGGTGATCAATGGCTCACAAAACAACTATCCATTTGATTGGGATGTCATTTTAGTGGACAATCAAACGTTAGAAAAGTTTCCCGTCACTCTTGGAAGCTGGGGTGGATCATCAGCCTGGAAGATCGAGCCGATGGGTCGAGCTAGTGATGCCATGCCGGGAAAGGCCAGCGACCGGATAATAGGCAATGCGACATTGGTAGAAGATGACCCGTGGGACAACATAATGGCCTGGAAGGAAGATACGACTACGGCAATGAGTGCATTGTAAGTCATTTTCCTCGATACATACGTTTCCGTAGATGGAAAACCACTAATTTAATTTCTGAACTAGGGTTTGCACCTACAAGACCGATGAAAGTAACACCATTCAGGGTTACGCAGAAATCGGCCAACCGACAATAATCATCCACTGGGCATGGCTATCGCTTTTGGCTACTCAGATCCTGTTAATGGTAGTATTTGTGGTTTATGTCATCTTGGAGACTGCCAAGCTAGACATTCAGGTTGTTAAAGGCTCTAATATTGCAGAACTCAAAGCTATGGGTCAGGAAGATTCGATTCGAGAGTCAGAGTATGTACTAGCTGGGGGAATTGCAGAGAGTGTTGATGCAGATCTCGTGGGAAGGCTAGTAAAGAGCAACAGTGGCTGGAACTTGAAGGTGAATCGCAGAGCTGTTGGCTAGTCTGTTATTGCTGGGTGTCAGTATAGCATATCCTACCAAGGTTGATCCAGAGGTCTCTGTAAATTTACGCTATTTGTTCCCGCGGTATGTCAGATAGGCACAGGGGCGACTTCAACCTGCGATTGAAAGCATGTGTTTGCTCACAGGAACTCAGCTGCGTTTGGGCAGATCTGGTATTGCAGATGTCAGTCTTGAAGTTGGGGCCACGATAATTGAGGGACCTGACAATCTGGCATGCTCTGAGGGTGGCGAACCGATTCTCCAAGTGTACCCCTCTTCTTATCATAGAGCTCCAGTAAAAAGAACCTCTGTCTATGTGGTAGTGCTATAGTTCGCTGCCGCTGGATCTTAAATAGAAACCAGTTGATTGCTGGATACAGATGATCCAAATTCTGCAAGCTACCTAGACCCACCATAACAGTATGACGTGTTCAATTCGATAAAAAGTTGGACCAAAAGAGGCGATGGAAATATATGAGAAGTTCGTCCCTCGTGAGACGCTCGATTGTAGCTGGCAGTGACTGTAGGCAATATTTAAAGCCGTTGTTTTCCACGAGGGTTCTGCTGGTCAGAAGTCAGAGGCTGTTTTGGTCTTGAATAACAAAGGTTATGGCAATGATAGGTTTTCCATCCCATTACCAAACCTGGTCGATAATTTGAGCCACGCCGCCCATTTGGCCGAGTTCAGCATGGTCCATAGCATAAGGCTGGGGGTCATCAGTTGAGATTCTCCATGCTGGAATATGTTCGAGGGCACGGCGATAGTCAATGACGACGTCGCTATCGAAGTTCCCATTGACATCCTCCAGCTTCCTCCTGCCAATCGTCCTACCATAGCTCCTCCACCCGGAGTAGCATCCTTAGGGTTGAATATGGTCAATAAGCTGCCGGCATCTAGCCTCAAGTTGATCCCAATATACAAGGCCATCCTTCTGAGAAATTCGGAGAGGGATTACAGGCAGCGAGCCAACGGGTTGTATATCTTCGAAGAAGTCAATTTTGAATTGTCCAAACACAAGTACAAAATGCCTTCTGTGAAAGTCGATGAAGTGGCAACCAGGATTGGTATTGGAATGAGCTCTCAGGAACATGACCCAGCCCCCTCATATATCTTCGATCACCCGTTCCCTGAACAGCGTGCCAGACTTTGAGCCCAAAGTCTGATTTCCTGGCGTATATGAAAGAATCGGGAGGGAACAAAGACCACGATTCTGAAAAGCGCGCGACATCAGATTCCTCTGCTAACCCTTTTTATAACGGGAGAATTTTGTCATGGAGATACGTGAGCAAGTAGTGGATGTCATTAATATAGCTCTTCTCATCTGTGGCTGTTGTGGTAGTTTCACCCGCACCACCTGAATGAAGTAGTGTCCCCTCTGGGTTTAGTGCTCAAGTCATCTGTAAACAAGTTCCGAAGCACAAAATAATGTTCCTACGGAACTTCAAAATTGTAAACTATATTATCGTAACTGTCTCGAATGATTTACCTTTGTTTGAGAAGAGAATATGTGATCCATCTGGGTTAGCTTCAATGGCCTCGAAACGGCCACGCCTTTTATAACGCGCCGGATATCCTGGAATCTTAACCAGAACTAACCCCATGCTGAATGGTGGTCTATGGGATGCGGACAAATCAAGCAAAAATACTGGTTGTGGTGGCATTTCGACATCCAGATCAACTTGAAACAGCGGGACAACTTCGGTTGATATGCCGGTTGTATAATTCTCAATCCAGTCGGCTTCTTGAATACAGCCCTCCATCGTGAGGCAAGGGTGTTGGCCATCAATCATCTGGAATTCGATCGTTGGATCAGTATCGCCCAGAAGGCGAAGCTGTGAGCCGATACCGTAGATAACTCCGCTGGGTAATGTCGCCCAAGACCATGATGGTCCAAGCTTTCCATCCTTTTCAGCAGCTTCAAGTTCCTCAACCTCTTGAGTAGTCAGAGGCTTGTCTTTCTTCCACAAAAGTTGACGGCTGGCGTCAGTTTTCCATACCCCGTAAACGCACTGATCTCTTGTCCAGCCCATGTGAAGTGCTAAGAGTGATATGGCTTCATAAAACGCCGGGACCCTGTCTTCTAGACGGGAGTAGTCACGCTTTGAATATTCCTCAACGATCTGCATCCAACTCCAAACCCTGCAGTTCTTTTCCGGCGAAGTCTCGGAAGGATATCGAGATGAGGAAAATGCTGTATTGAGGTTATCCTCCAGGCCATCCACCATTTCGTAGTAATCGCCGCCATCGACAATATTCTTCTTTTGTTGGCATGTCCACTTGATCTGTCGAGAGCCAAAGCTGATGACCCGCGATGACAGGAGATGTTCCTGAAATGTCCAAATCCGCTTATGCACAGTATCATTGTCTGTGGAACCGTTCAAGTCCATTTCCGACAGGAGCAAGGATCCTTGAATCTCGTGGCCATCTACTTTCCACTCGTAAGGCAGCTCAAAGATCGCGCCGTAACAACGATCAACTATTCTGGATTGCAGAAATCCCTCGCCGCAGTCCGAAGCACTTGCAGCTGAAATTAGAATATCTGCCTGCTTGTAAAACTCAGCAATTGAGTTAAATTGATGCTTTGCATCGTCCGTGTCATCTTGGACGATGCAGAGAGCATCCAGCCAAAGGTATCGAAGACCGATCTGCCGCGTGACTTCAATTAGGTCCTGAATACTCTTTGGTAGGCCTGTTACCTCGATTCCAGAAGCCATTCTGTAGCCTATGTTTTCCTTGGTCGTTTGAGCTTGTTGTATAGCATTTTTTTTCAAGCCGTTGCCCCATACATAGCTGCCAATAGCAAAGGATACTCTGGCATCGTCGCTTGCTTCCAATAACCCGATGAAGGGGTCACCAAGTTGACCTACATTCAGTAGTCTCTTCGGCATAGCCAGGCTTTGTTGATGCTCTCGGGCGCGTTTTCGGCATTTGGTATGGTGGCGTCGGCATCTGTCAAACCGCTCTTTTATCCATGTGAAGCTTTCGGCCGAGCCAGGATGCAGATTGAAAGGCAAAGCCTCAACAAATTGATGAGAAAGATCATCTGTTGATTTATTAATCACGACAGATCGTATGTTTGTTTCATCTTGGACTGAATTCTTGCTCACCTTCTGGGACGAAAGCGAATAACCCATTATCTTCTTCATCGTCCTCGTCCTCGTAACCCCTAACTTGAGGATCTTCTGGCTTCATTTCCCATTTGAAGCCAAGACCCAGCAATATATCATCACCAGTCCAAATTCTCGGTTTTAAAGTCAATTCATGACGTGTTCGATAAGGCGGATATGAGATACGGTCGAACTTCTTCTGTACAGTCTCGAAGAGCAGGCAACCCGAGGAAGCCATCTCTGCGACTTTGGTATAGGAAAACTTGCCTGTGATATTACCATAGGTCGACAGATTATGGATCAGCAGCTTCTGGCAACAAGTACAAGAGTGTGGTTGCAGGTCAGTAATGTCAGATTGAGAGCTTGGTAGATCTTGTTCCATAGTGAATAATGGTGTCTAACGATATTTAGCCGTGCTCCGAAGATGAATGTCATAGATAGGCCTCGGAACTTACTGTGAGAGAAATACTACGACTGGTCTTAGGTATAAAACCTGATATTAGACTAGAGGAATCAAATGTAGCTCGCAAACTTTTGCTTTCTGTTTCCCTTGAGGCTATTCAACAATAGAACGCTGCAGAAAAGCTTTGAGTGGAAAGTTCCCAGTTATGTACAATCTCAATCACTGAGAAGTCAGCCTATCGACACGAGCGGGGTAAGGCAGAATTACTTAAAAGGTCAGATTTCATACGTGGCACCTTAAGCAACCAAAGATCGGCTGCTGTCACTCACCCTGACCTGAAATGTAACCCTAAAACGATGAGGGACGGGTGGCCTCGTATGTATTGGGTGTTTGCACTGCCCTACAGTGTATTGATGCGCGTCTTTGCAGCCTACCTGGAACCTGGCCGGTCTGGGAGGCAGATCTGACCAATTATAGCCAATTCTCAGATCCTCCGCCAGTGAGTTACCTTCAGCTTAGCATTCAAACTGACCCAGGGAAAGGTAGCTTCTTAACTTTTCTACCGCTGCCCCCACAACATTAAGCTTCGGCCAAGTTGTTTGGTTCAGAATGGCACCGACTAGTGAGAGATTGAATTAGCACGACGGTGCCGCGGCAAAAGCTCCCTTTGGCGCGGTCTAAACTTTATCGAGATTCATTTCATCCCGCAGAGTATCGAAGGGGCGTTGGGTCAGCACCTGCGATCGACAATATCGCTTGGTCGCGTGCATGATCAAGCGTTTTTCGACGATACGACGAGTTAGAGCTTGGTTAACCCTGAGTCTCCTACCACGACATCCGAGGTAGAAATCATTAATTGTGCTTCGCGCACCGCCGATCGGTTAGACCAATGCTCTCAGATGCTCAGTGCTGAAGCGGCCTGGAACCCTCTTCTACTTTGTCCTGTGCTCGACCTCGTCACCTTCGACGCGTGTGAGGCAAATGAGAACTTATGGTTGTCACATGCCGCAAAATATATAATCTCCACTGCATACGAGCAGCTTCAACTCCCCCTCCCCCTGTTGTACGCGTCGTCTGCAATTCCGCCAGAGGCAGAGTAAGTTTTGAAATGTGTCTAATCAACACTACCGGCCTTTTGCTGGAATCTGTTCTGGAGCCTCGTAATGTGCAATACCCTAACTCTCGCATACGTGGAGCCAAGATGAGGTACCGTTGTAGGACTTTGGCAATTTGGACTTTGCTAAGCGAAAATCGGGGTTCTCTAAGATCAAGAAGACATGCCGAATAGCGAGATCCCGGGATGTTAAGGATGCATGGGTTGATACTTGCTGAATAGAGAACGAGAGCAGCGCTGAGGTAACATAAGCTATCAACTCCATGCCCGAGTGGTATAAACAGGCTCCGGTCTACTTTGCATATATCTCAGACCTTCCATCAGTCCTCGCCGGAGGGCCCATGCTTGACTGGCTGGATGGAGGATAATATGGCTGGTTCAGCCGAGGCCGGACGCTGCAGGAGCTCATCGCGCCACAAAGGCTCAAGTTTTTCGATAGCGCGTGGCAGCATCGAGGAGACCGCTTTACGTTGCGCTTGGGAATATCACAGAAGTCAGGGATAGATATGCCCGTTCTTCAGAATAGTGCCCGTCTTCCAGGAATTCATCTCGGGAGAAAAATGACATAGGCCTCGGGTCGCAAAACTACCAAGGTGGAGAACATGGCTTATTGTCTACTAGGCATCTTTAACATCGACATGTACTTGCCTCCTTTCATATTGCTATATGCACTTGCCAAGAAGGTGAAGACTAACCATATCCCAGGCCACTGATATATGGCGAGGGGGTCAAGGCATTTCTTCGAATACAAGAAGCGATATGCAGGGAGAGCACTGATCCGTCACTGTTTGCCTGGAAAGCGAAGTCAGACCCAGAGACCTCAAAACAAAGATTCAGAGGGATTCTTGCACTATAGCCTTCCTTCAGAATATTCTCATTGCCAAGATGTTCAGTGTATCACGATCATCTCGATCCAAATTCCGAGTTTTCCATGACAAACAATGGGTTGCGAATGGAGGCAAAGCTGGGGCTTATTGAAGACACCGATTATATCTTGGCGCTGAATTGTGTCACTCGTACTGGAAAGTATTTGTCTTCTCCTTGGGAGTTGATTGTTATTGTTGCGAGTGCTTTCCTCCGTGAGTCCCTAGTGCCGGTCAAGCACCAATTTTGTAGAACTTGTCCGCGAACTCTGCTTCCAGCAACTCGAACGCCCTTAAGACCTGCATTAATCCACATCCATTATCGAACTCTGACTGCATAGCAACTGGATCTTTAGATGCAGATGAGCCAACAACACCTGAACCGGGCATGGACCCTTCAGACTCAGATGCAGATGCGTCACTCTCATCCTCCCAGCTATCGGGAACCTCAGCATTTGCCTTATTCTTTGCTAACGCTTGGGCAGTCTCTTCGGATGCTTTATCTGACTTCTGTACCTCAACCACCTCTGAGATGGCCTCGTGGTCTCCTTCGCTCATGTCACTCATGTTCTCATCACCATCAAGATCCTCCATGGAGAAGCCGCCCCCTGAGTCAATGACGCCCTTGAGGCTGGTCACGATGGTCTTAAGTACGAGGGAAAAGTCCTTGAGATGAAACCACACATCGCCCCGTTTGATGAGGTTGTCGCGCACCAGCACTTTCAAACTCCCGTGCTTGAAGAAGTCATAGAGATAGGCGTTTAGCTCAACTGTGGTATCGATTGGCCAGATTGGGAGGTAAGGGATGGAAGACTCTTCTAGAAATACCCCGTCTCTGACTGTAGAACACAACTCTTTAATTGAGTCAAAGTCATCAGTGAACCCAGAAAGTGCCACAAATGGAGATCGGATGATCGGTGGAGGGTCGCTTGTTAGACTGCAACCGCGCCCTTTCTCTGGTCCAATCGGAATCTTGGTCAGTGGAAGTGTGCAGTCTGGTAGGTCGTGCAAGTGTGCATTGATGTAAGAGGATACATAGTCCTTGAAAGTCAAGAGAGTTTCCCGGTTATGCCGAACGAGTAGTTGCTCTGCGGCAACTGGAAGTCGTTTGAGGAAGATATCAGATGAAGAGCTTTCGACAATTTCGAGGGCCTTTGCCTTCTGCTGGATCGGGATTCTACTGAACAGGTGGCTGAGGACCAACATCATCTCGCGAAGCACTCTCTCGCGATCGGAGTCAATGTCCTTGCATAACTTATGAAAGTATCCACCGCGGAGCAATGAGTGAAATGCAAAGACGGCGTTCTCCGTAAAGTACAAATGACCTACAAGTCCCGCGAAGTGAATAGGCACTCCTTTCACCGAGAGAAGGTTTTGGCGTCTCAGGTACTCAATTGAGAAGCGCAGGTGGTGCTTGACTGCCATTTCGGCATCTGGTCCTCCTAGGTATAAGCGAGTTTGTGATAAGAGAGATTTGACTGCGTTGACAGCAAACTCATTGTTCTTCGTTCCACTCAGGAGAACAAATAGACGAAGGACAAGTGTAATTGAGATTGGGAATTGCCCCTTAAGAGCAGGTAACCGAGAGGACATGATCTCGTGCACCCGATCTCGGCTGATACCGTTAAAGACGACATTTCCAAGCAAATCGAACCCACGTCTCCCAGCGCGGCCGGACGCCTGGCGATAGTTCTGAGGAGACAGAAACACAGAGTCCCCGCTAAAGACAACTGTCTTGCACGGCATGTTAATTCCAAGCGCAAGGGTTCCAGTTGCAACGACTAGTCGGATGTAGCCCTTCCGGAAGAGTATCTCTACACTGCATTCAGTCAGAGACAATTCCTCTCTTCTTAGCCCTAGGCTGAAGGTTGAATGTGAGATAGACAAATAGATTGAACTTACATCCTACGGTAGTGGAGGTTCATACCGGCGTGATGAACACCCAATCCACGTCGAAGGGCATCGATCAGCCATGGCTGGACTTTCTTCGGATCCAGTCGAAGCACCAAATCTTCAAGGTCTTTCTGCTGCATCTTTTTGGTGTCTGCGAAGCTGAAGTAGTCTAAGGGGGCCTCGGGGTCGAAACTCTCCCAAGGGCTGGTCTCGACACTCCCCTCCTCGCGGGCGATGTCAAGCTTTGATGGATTGCGCTCCCCACCTTCCGAGCGTTTGGAGGATCGAATCTCTCGATTATTTCCTTTCTGCCGTTGCCACTGTTCAAAGTCCCGGAGTTTCTTCTTCCAGGTAGTGTCACTTCCCTTGAACGCCTTTTCGGCATCGTTCAGTTTAGAGAAGATGCTTCTGACAGCCATTTCGCACTCGGAGCGGTCGTAGTTAAAAACAAGAGCTGGCAAGGCGTCCTGTGAGTGAAGCTCACATGCCAAAGTAAACAGCCTACCAATATGGTCAACAGGATTTGGGTGTACGCAGTGTTGGATCTTAGAAGTCCTTTCATTTTGGGCTGAAGGGTCAATGCTCTCTTGCAAAATGTAGAAGGGAGATTCTGGGTTCTCCATGGCCTCTTTTAACTTCCTCTTTAAGCGTTTCTCCCACTCGACAATATGAGATTTTTCAATGACCTCTGGCAGGACTTTCAGAGGGTCAAGTTCGTTATGATTTCCGAGGAGGTCTTTTGGAAAAGTGTTCTGCATGCTGTTCCAGAGAGTGAAGCAGTCTCTAGCCTCCAGAGTGACATCATCCAGCGCTGCAATGTTCCTGTTAATAGATCAGTCAGTACCCGCTCGCAGCCTTGGCATTAGGGATCAAACTCGCCTGTCTTTAAGGGCTACTACAGGGTGCACAAACTTGAAGTTTGGACTAGTGCTGTCACCCTCGTCGAGCCCTGGCACAGGGAGTCT